TGATGAAGGGGAAGGGGTGGCCAGGAGTTTGATGAAGTGGTGGCCAGGGGCTTGGTGAAGATCTGGCCAGGGATTTTGGTTAAGAGGTGCAGTGGTTTTGTAGAAGGGGGTGGAGGCAACAGATTGTGAATGCTCCTAAAATAGTTTGAAGGGGTCCAAACAGAGACAGGTGAGGGGGGGCGGGGGGGGCGCCACAAGATTGTTTCGCACAGGGCGCCTGAACACCTAAGGCCGGCCCTGGAGAGAGCCACCTCCATCTTAGCTCCCTGTCAGTCATTGTTATAAGCCCCGCCCTTTACACCTGGCAGTCAGTATAGAGAGAGCCGCCTCCATCTTAGCTCCCTGTCAGTCATTGTTATAAGCTCCGCCCTTTACACCTGTCAATCATCATAGGAAGAGCCACCTCCATCTAAGCTCCCTGTCAATCATTGTTATGAGCTCCGCCCTTTACACCTGGCAGTCAGTATAGAGAGAGCCGCCTCCATCTTAGCTCCCTGTCAATCATTGTTATAAGCTCCGCCCTTTACACCTGGCAGTCAGTATAGAGAGAGCCGCCTCCATCTTAGCTCCCTGTCAGTCATTGTTATAAGCTCCGCCCTTTACACCTGTCAATCATCATAGAAAGAGCCACCTCCATCTAAGCTCCCTGTCAATCATTGTTATAAGCTCTGCCCTTTACACCTGGCAGTCAGTATAGAGAGAGCCACATCCATCTTAGCTCCCTGTCAGTCATTGTTATAAGCTCCACCCATTACACCTGGCAGTCAGTATAGAGAGAGCCACCTCCATCCTAGCTCCCTGTCAGTCATTGTTATAAGCTCCGCCCATTACACCTGGCAGTCAGTATAGAGAGAGCCACCTCCATCTTAGCTCCCTGTCAATCATTGTTATAAGCTCCGCCCTTTACACCCGGCAGTCAGTATAGAGAGAGCCATCTCCATCTTAGCTCCCTGTCAATCATTGTTATAAGCTCCGCCCTTTACACCCGGCAGTCAGTATAGAGAGAGCCATCTCCATCTTAGCTCCCTGTCAATCATTGTTATAAGCTCTGCCCATTACACCTGGCAGTCAGTATAGAGAGAGCCGCCTCCATCTTAGCTCCCTGTCAGTCATTGTTATAAGCTCCGCCCTTTACACCTGGCAGTCAGTATAGAGAGAGCCACCTCCATCTTAGCTCCCTGTCAATCATTGTTATAAACTCCGCCCTTTACACCTGGCAGTCAGTATAGAGAGAGCCGCCTCCATCTTAGCTCCCTGTCAATCATTGTTATAAGCACCGCCCATTACACCTGGCAGTCAGTATAGAGAGAGCCACCTCCATCTTAGCTCCCTGTCAATCATTGTTATAAGCTCCGCCCTTTACACCTGGCAGTCAGTATAGAGAGCCACCTCCATCTAAGCTCCCTGTCAATCATTGTTATAAGCTCCGCCCTTTACACCTGGCAGTCAGTATAGAGAGAGCCGCCTCCATCTCAGCTCCCTGTCAATCATTGTTATAAGCTCCGCCCTTTACACCTGGCAGTCAGTATAGAGAGAGCCGCCTCCATCTTAGCTCCCTGTCAATCATTGTTATAAGCTCCGCCCTTTACACCTGGCAGTCAGTATAGAGAGAGCCACCTCCATCTTAGCTCCCTGTCAGCCATTGTTATAAGCTCCACCCATTACACCTGGCAGTCAGTATAGAGAGAGCCGCCTCCATCTTAGCTCCCTGTCACTCATTGTTATAAGCTCCGCCCTTTACACCTGGCAGTCAGTATAGAGAGAGCCACCTCCATCTTAGCTCCCTGTCAATCATTGTTATGAGCTCCGCCCTTTACACCCGGCAGTCAGTATAGAGAGAGCCATCTCCATCTTAGCTCCCTGTCAATCATTGTTATAAGCTCCGCCCTTTACACCTGGCAGTCAGTATAGAGAGAGCCACCTCCATCTTAGCTCCCTGTCAATCGTTGTTATAAGCTCCGCCCATTACACCTGGCAGTCAGTATAGAGAGAGCCACCTCCATCTTAGCTCCCTGTCAATCATTGTTATAAGCTCGCCCTTTGCACCTGTCAATCATCATAGAGAGAGCCACCTCCATCTTAGCTACCTGTCAATCATTGTTAAAAGCACCGCCCTTTGCACCTGTCAATCATCATAGAGAGAGCAGGCAGAGAGAAGGAGAAAATAAACAAGGTTTGTATATTTTCTCATTTGTTATGTGTGCCATGGCCATACTCTGACTTTTGCATGAGAAAATGTTAAGATAAATTATAAATAATTTTCAAACCTTTTTAATCTTTTTTTTTATTCTTTAAGACAGGAAACATCTTTTATTCAATCTTTTATTCAGTTGTGTTATTGTCAGGAAAGTGACCGTTCCACTTTAAAGTACTTTTTCTCCAAGGAAAGTGCTCTGAATAATAGTATTTGAACTTAAAATATTAAGTGTCTGTATAATACTACACTTTATTTAGAGGGGCACTATGCTATATCTATGATTCAATGTATCTATAAGTGGAAATGCTGATTGGTCATCACCGGCTCTGCCTGTGATCTGCCTCCTTGACAAGCTCAGCCAATCCAATGCTTTCCTATGGGAAAGGATTGTGATTGGCTGACATCACCACTTATGATGATGTCAGCCAAGCAGGCAGATCAGGGACCGAGCCAGCAGCAGCAGATTGGAATAAAGGTAAGATTTTGTTATATGTAGGGGGGTAAGGGGAGACCAGAAGGGCTAGATGGTGGTTTTAACACTATAGGTTTAGGAATACATGTTTGTGTTCCTGATCCTATCGTGTTCCTTTAAAATGTAAAGATATATTAAAGGAACACTGTAGTCACCTAAATAACTTTAGCTAAATAAAGTAGTTTTAGTGTATAGATCATTCCCCTGCAATTTCACTGCTCAATTCACTGTCATTTAGGAGTTAAATCTCTTTGTTTCTGTTTATGCAGCCCTAGCCACACCTCCCCTGGCTATGACTGACAGAGCCTGCATGAAAAAAAAACTGGTTTCACTTTCAAACAGATGTAATTTACCTTAAATAATTGTATCTCAAACTCTAAATTGAACTTTAATCACATACAGGAGGCTCTTGCAGGGTCTAGCAAGCTATTAACGTAGCAGGGGATAAGAAAATCTTAATTAAACAGAACTTGCAATAAAGAAAGCCTAAATAGGGCTCTCTTTACAGGAAGTGTTTATGGAAGGCTGTGCAAGTCACATGCAGGGAGGTGACTAGGGTTCATAAACAAAGGGATTTAACTCCTAAATGGCAGAGGATTGAGCAGTGAGGCTGCAGGGGCATGTTCTATACACCAAAACTGCTTCATTAAGCTAAAGTTGTTCAGGTGACTATAGTGTCACTTTAAAACCATTGTTGGGACATTTATTAAGTTTAATCTTTCAACATACACTCTATTGTGTGTTATCCGCTAAACAATGATTTGCAGTGGGTTAAAACCAGATTCACATAATTTGGGACTTACAGCTGAGATGGAAGATTGATAGACATGTATTTGGCCATTATTCTACAATTCCTCAGTTCGCACTGCAATTCGCTATATATATCTAAATCTCTCCAAAGTCCTTCACAATATATTAGCGTTCCTATCAAAGCAATCATATTTTAATCAGTTAGCTTAGGGTTCAAAACGATTGTTATCATGGCAGGTTTTTTAAATCCTCTCGACTTTTCCATCAAAAACATTTTATGCAAATATTTAGGAGCTGACTGTGATCTCACTAATTAGCGTTAGTGGTGTTTGTGACGAGACCAATCTCGCCACATTGCATTGGAGAAGCCTGGTTGCTCGCCTGTTGCCTTTGGATTATGGCCCCATGTTAAAAGGCTTGATATTCCCCTGCAAAGACATGAAAGCCGGGTCATTTGGTGCTTGCCCTGTTTGAGCGGTGATACCCCAGATAGCTATGCCATGGAGCCCATTCGTATAATGAAAGACTATGGGAAAGACTTTGGCTCCATGGCAATTGAACTGTATGTGTGTGCTCTGGGCGCCATTCAGTAATAATGTGCGCTCAGATCTGAGCTATCTGGGGATATGTTGAATGTACCTGTTTTATGCAATGGCTGCACAGTTATATATTTTTATGTATTTTATTGTCTTTTGCTGCCATATGTTCAATGGAGTTTTGCCTCTGTCCTTGGAGATAATTGGATTACTTCACAATTATCTCCAGGATAGAAGACTCTGTGGAACTGGTTTTGGGCAGAAAAGCCATGCTTCCTTTGGTCACAAAGGACTACGATCTATCTTTTAAACCACTGGACCAATTTGTATGATTTTGACGTATGTTTGTATTTGGAGTATGCTGATTCTGAAAATGTAAGTTATGTGAATGTGATGCATACTTTTCAAGTTATGAATAATGTGGAAAAATTGTATTTCTCTGCTTGTGCTAATTACATTACCCATTGTGTAAGGTAATTTAATCACAGGCAGAGGGGAGGAGTTTGTGTGGGAGTGTCTGAGTGTATTGTATGTGTTTATTGGTTGTGTTCCAAAACCCTGTGGATGGTAGTAATGTGTAAGAATGTGTACATAAGGACAATAAACCCACAGCTCTGGCTGTTCACTGCTTGACCCTCAACACGGAGCTTTGTCTCGTTCTTGGGGGGATTTATTGTATGCTGTTCCAGTTTGACTGCTAGGAGTGTAAACCTATTCGTATGGTTTTTCCTATTCGGCTGTTTACGGCATTCATATGGTTTCCTGTTCGGCGGATTGGTGTTCTGCAGTAGCTGTGCCTGTGTCTCTGGAAGGGAAGATCTACTAAACGTCGGTTTAACCCTTTTATGCCTGGGGGTGCCGTTAAAGTGTTATTATGGTTTCATTTACAGATTGCTATGTTTAATGAAAGTCTCAAATACTGGGGTAAAAACATCATGCACATTACCTCCTATTTTTGATTGGCTTCTAATTGTCCAACCTTAAAGAGGATTATTTACCAGATACGGAGTAAGAATAAATTGATTAAACAAATTATCAAAATTCTGTCCAGCACATATGAGATGACCAACACTATCCAATGTATCTGTGTTCCCAAATTGGCAATTTGGGCTCCAATTAAATAATAATAATAGTTTTACCAGGAAGATTATGGATTTCATATAATTTATTTGATTTTAAAAACTGCTGAACCATTTCAAATAAATGGCAGCTATCATTAAACAGTTTTCTATATTTTTTTTTAACCACTTTAATATCCAGATCGAGTAAACATGTTTTTTATTTTTATGTTCTGAAGTATGAAATCTAGTCCTTAAAGCCTCACTCACCCTCATTTATCCTTTTGTTATGATTACCAGTCTGTAGAGGAATGCTTTTCTCTACCAGAAACCACTATTCACTTATATAATAAATATAAGGTTTCTGAAAATGTTAGCTTACCCCCTTTCAAAACAGTACAGGAAGTTTCAATGGGTCATGTCAGTTTTCAAATTGCTAAGGACACTGTATACTGCCTAAAGCTTTTTAATTTCCCAAATATTTTTATAAAGGCTGAACAAATAGGTGAAAAATAAAAATGTGTGAATGTACATAACTTATAATTTTAATATTGTCTGCAAAGCAATCTATACACAAAATATACACTATACACAAAATTGCTGTATTATGAAATGTTTATATGCTTGTTATGCATTCCTTGCTTCAAATCCATGTTATGCTAATATATTTTCAATCAAAAGGTGCTCGTCAGTGAAGGGGTTAAATACCGGATGTTTACATTCATGTGACAGGTTTTCTGAAACATAAATAAACTTATTTTTTTTTAATATTTCTACAATACCATGTTTTAACATTTATTTTTTATCAATACGTATAAATAAATATATATAATTTTTAAAAATACATCAGGATAAATCTATTGCGAATCCTGGGGACGCACACAGTATAATATGATAATTTGATAAAATTTCCCTCTCAATAATACAAACCACTCAACTTTCCAAACTAATTCTTGAATTTTATAGGTTACAGCGTGGAAAGTCCAGGAGTATAACTACATGATGGATAATTCTGTGCATCCTTTTCTGAAGATTAAATTAATATTTTCTCCGTGTAAAATGTAATTCTGTATTTGGTGGACATTTAAGGTGAAGTTACATGGTGATCCAACGGGGTGAGCCGAATCTCTCTTTTTCCTCTCACTGCTCCATGTAGTACAAACAGAAGGCGCCAGTATATGATGTCATAGAACAGCGCTTCAGAGGAGAAGAAAAAGCTGTGTGTTCAGGAACTCCAATCTCTTGCTCCTTCTGCGGCGTCATCCAGTGTAGTTTGATTTACAGGGCATGGATGGAGCTCCTTTGTGTATTTCAAGAGCCCAGTTGTAGCTTCACCTCACCTAATACCTATTACAATGCCAGTGGTAATATCTATAATTCTCGTATACAGGATCTACAGAATAACACAGGTTGATGAATCTTCTCTCTGTAAGGGAAGTTCTCCAGATTATCATGTGTTAGTGCATCTCTCTCCTGATCATCAAAAATCCACAATATTTCTACCACATCTCACAAATTCACATTTTGTACGACTGCTCCAACATCGGTCATCTTTTGCACAGAGAGCAGTCAAGTGCAAAAACACAAAGAGAAATGGCTACAGACTCCACACAGTAGTCATTGCACAGACCAGAAGAAGAAAGTGGACAACTAAACTGGATGCCTTAAATCCTCCACTGAAAATATGTAATGTCCCGGGCTCAGGGTGGAAGTCTTTGGCATCTTCCAAAGCATGATATGCTGCACTTGTCAAATTAGCATCTCCAGATACCACCAAGTCAAACACACAAGACTGAAAATATACGTCCTCTACAGGCAACTTCTCCCTGCACAGTGATTTGGCTGCATCCAAGCTCTTGAGAGTTGGTTGACCAATGTCCTTAGTCCTTGACAACCACTGACTGGCTGGGCAGCCCCCAACACACAGCTGTAAATCCTGCGCTTCAGGAAAGGCTTGTGAGATCTCCTCAGCTATTCGTAGAGAGAAGGAGAGTTGATTGGCAAGTTGACGCACCCGAATTGTTGTGCCGATATAAGAGGCCTGGATCTCAATGTATCCGGACTCCCGTTCATGGATGGTCAGACTTTTCCCACCAGATCGTCTGCCTCCGTTTATTGAACCATCGTCAAAAGCTGCTGGCAGGTTGCCCACCTCCGCCTGATAGACCTTCGGTTCAATGCACTGCTTCATGTTTTTGAAGATAATAGTCAGCTGGAAGAGAATATTGGCAGCATTACAAATAACTCTCAGAATTTCTCCAAAATTAAGTTCAGCTCATAAAAATAGGTTTACTTTCCAAAGTTAATGCTTTACAATGTTTTTGTTTAGTTTAGTTTTTTCTCGAAAAAGACTGCTTGCTGTAGAGGTCACATATATCTATTATTACATATGGTTGGACAGATTTCAAATAAATTTATACGTATTCAAACACGTGAACTTTACAGGATGTACTACGAGAAGTTAATTCATTCCAACACAGGCATGAGTCAGCCATAAAAATAAACTAAATAAATTTGGGGTGCATTCACTAGATAGGGAGTGATATGTCATTTATAATGATTTAAAGTAAAAAGTGAACTGGGATCCCACAATGTTTCTGGGGGTCTCTAATGGCCAGATTGTGCCCGCCACTTTCTTAGTAGCACTGCCTTCCTCAGTAAAACAAAGATCCAGTTGATACTGAGAAGAGTCCATTTAAGTCTTTTTGATGAATTTATTTTAATATTTCTTATATTGCACTTGATTAATAGGTCTCTGAGCTAATTTTTAAATCAAACAATGGATCACCAGGCATTTCCTACAATAATTAGGGTCCCTGACAACAACAAAAAAGGTTAGAACTACTAGTTTGGTGAGAAAAGCTTTCTGTGTAAAGAACATTATCCGGAAGATTTACTAAGCAGTGAAAAGGTGTGTGATTAAAGCAATAATGGATAAAGCAGAAGAAAGAGAGCTTTGAAACGCAGGAGAAGTGGTAAGTTGGTATATATGGCCGTGGTGAGCAAAGCCTGGGGAATATATGTAACGGGAGTCAATCTCAACTACAGCTATTTACATATTGAAACAGGGCATTACACATAGTACAGCTGGGAGGGTATACAATGGGAAAAAAAACAATAGAGTATTAAATATTAAAGAGTAAGAGAAGCATGATAAGAGAAGAGTCCATGAGATAAACACACTATTATATACGATGGATGATGGCGCATCTCCAGTAAGGGCTTGATGTAGCATAGAGGAGGAAGGACTGAGAAAAAGGGATGGACAGAACAGACAAAAAGATAGAGAAAAGCTGAAAGGTTTAAATGTCAAGGGACTGGATGGAGAAGAGAATTAGAAGGGAAATAAAACAGGGTTTGGTGAAGTAGAAAGACTGGTAAAAAATAATTAATAGAGCAGAGAAGAAGATGGGTTAGAAGGTGGAACAGGTAGGGTGGAGGAGTTGAAAGGTTGAGAGAAATGTCCTGAATAAAGGAGAAGAAAGGAAAGGTTGGGGGAGAGGGGTGGATGTAGGAAAAGAGGAAGAAGGTTGGGGAGAGGTATGATAAAGAAGAGAATTGGGGGGGAGGAATAGATGAAGAAGAATAGGAGGAAGGTTGGGGAGACTGATGGATGAAGAAGAAAAGGATGAAGGTTGGGGAGACTGATGGATGTGGGAGAGAATGACAATTGGGAAAATAGATGGGTGGAGCAATGGGCAAGGGTTATTAGATGGATTGTGGCGTGGAAGAAGGAAAGACTGGGTAAGAATGTTGGTGGAAAATAGAGTAAGAAAATAGTGTAGTCTTTAGAAAGGCTCAAAAAGGTCACAATGTTTCCAGACAGTTCGTACCTTGCTTGTTACTGTGGCGTTAGACAGATGATTGAGTGGTGAGGTTGTTGCCTGAATAAACAGATACTCATTGTCTAAGAGAGGCCATGAACCTTTTACTTGGCAGGTCTGGAATTCACCACCAAAAGTACGTACATGGGGATCCCCAAAAACTCCACAGTGTAAATATTTTGGCACCTTCCCATGCTTCTCACGGAAGACCTTCTCGTAGTCGCAGGCCTGTTTGGGAGGGTTTTCAGGGATTGACTGCGGAGGATGGCGCCTGGGAGGGGTGGAGAGACCTTCCTTGGAACAGTTGTGCTGGATCATGAGGTCCTCGATGATGTGCACAGCAGAGTGGTAAACCAAGTCTCCTCGACACGTCCTGGCAGTGTTCCTGGTGCACTGAGAGTAGGAACGCAGGGCGTTGCAGTACACTGCATTTTTATTAGAGACTCTCAAGTTCAGCGTGGCTGACAGATACTCTGAGTTGCATTTTACAATTTTACATTGAGCGTGCACTGGAAAGGGGGAAAAAACGTGAAATCAGGCGTGAATCTACATCATTGTAACGGACAGCAATGATGACAATGTTTGATGGAGTTTTTCATCATTTGTAACTTATTCATTTCCAAATACGTGTCTACACGAGCATCACTAACTACAATCCATTTACATCTATTGTAGTCTTTAATTCCATTAATCTACGGATATCAATCACTCTTTTCTTACTCCATTAGGTAAAAACATTTGTTCTATAACATACAGGGTTACTCACTAAAGTGAGAATTCAAACAGAATTTCAAATTTAAGGTCAAAATAGCTGAATTGGGAAAAGTATCAAAGCCAGCTCTGCTTTCAATTCAGTCACGTGGTCGTAACGGGACACTATAGGCACCCAGACCACTTGCAGTTTCACAGAGTTCAATTAAGTGAAATGTCGCTGGACGTCCTCACGCTCTGCAAGATGATGTCCAGCGTTATGCAAGTCCCCCATAGAAAAGAATTGATTCAATGATTTCCTATGGGAAGGCCTAATGCTCGCGCATGGAGGGAGCTCCCCGCAGGGTCCTAGTGCCCTAATTATAGTACGAGCATTTCTTATGAAGCGCTACTGCTATGCTGGCTGGGAGACATGTAACCCTGTTAGTGAATAATCCTATATTCTCAGTACACAATAGCACAGCTCATTAACAATGACTTTCTAAATAATCCATAAAGCACATTACAGTGAGATTTTCAGCCCAAAATGTACTTAAAACAGCCAGGTTTGGCGGAGTCAGTAAAGTAACAGACTTATTTACTGAAGTGAGAATTAAAAGTGAACTCAAGTAAATTTCAAAGTTAAGGCTAGACTAGCCGAAAACTGGAAACATTCTCCTGGCCAACAATACTATCAGTTTGATTAATCTGGCCTTAAATTAGAAACTCACTTTGAATTCCTGACATTTCTCCCTTCAGTGAATAACGCTGTAAGTGAATGAAATAGCCGTGTCACTCACTGAATTGCCTTACCTTGCTCACAGATGATGAGGAGGAACACAGTTTTAAACAGGGTGTTATCCGACCACACTGGAGATTTACGTCTGGCAGAAATGTCACCCATTCCAGTCCATTCAAATCCAGCAGTATGTTCATCTCATCACAGACGGGTCCTCTGAGCAAAGGAACACAGAAAATGGATTTTAATAAAGATTTGAACTTATAGCCACTGATCCCAACAATTCCCTTTCTAGAAAGCTTTTTACCCCATTTTTAAGTTATTGTTTTTGCGCATATTGTTTCAATGTATTTTCGATATTTTGTAACGTTGGCTTAACCACACACTGTCTGTTTTACACAAGACTTTCGGTTTAAAGAGTCCGACCAAAGCAGTGTTTTCGTAAAATCCTTGATTTTGGGTAGAGTAGCCCTTTCTGTGATTGTCCGCCCCGCTAAAGACAAACATAAACTCATTTTTAAAAAGGCTTAAACTTACGTATTTTCCATCGCACAAGCCAAGTTGTCCCCTCAGCCCGACATCACTCCCCTTCCATGGAGGTGGGGGTCAGGGAGGCCATGCTGCCATTGTCTTTCTGGTGCCAGCACGCTGTGTTCTAGTTCTGTGCTGGTTAGGATCTCCCAATGCTGATGGAGATGTAGTTACACCTCTGGCAGAAGAGGGGTTAATCCGTACATCCAGCATTTCATAACGAAACACTGTACTTAAAGACTCCAGGCACCATGACCACTTCAAATCCCTGAAGTGGTTATGATGCTTGGGATAACCTTTTAAAAAGAAAAAAGGTTTCTGCTAAATTCATCTTTAAAACAAAGGCCACTAATCATCACCTGGATTATTATAACATTTCTCTCCTTGAGTGAAGAGACAGTCAACCAGTTGGGCTCATGTCCATTGTTCTCTAATGACGAGGACCCAGAATTAAATATTCATCAGAGGATTCACGTTATGTCAAGGCTCAACTACAGCGTTAGTAATGCCAAGCAACTCCTGGTTTAGTAAATAACCCTGAGCAGAATTCTTGGTTAACTAAATATGTAACAATGTAAGAAAACTGGGTGAATGTGTGAATGTTGTAGGGCAGGGATAGGCAACCTTCAGCACTCCAGATGTTGTGGACTACATCCCCCATAATGCTCTTACACTCATAATGCTGGCAAAGCATCATGGGAGGTGTAGTCCAAAACATCTGGAGTGTCGAAGGTTGAGTATACCTGGTGTAGGGTTTGAAATATCACACTAAGAAATACAAGTTATACACGCAGAGCTCAAACAACCCAACGACTGAATACAAACCACGAATAGCCTCACTGACTCCAACAGAAGATGAAAGGGGACAAAGCATTATTATGGATGTAAATTATTTCAATGCAACAAAGCAGTAAGGAAAGCCATCACTATTCCAGGACAGGAGAAGGAATATCAGAACGTTGACCCCACTTTATAGATGACTTGAAAACATTACACAGAATATTGTGTGCGGTTCTGGAGACCTTGTCATCACACTAATAAAACGTTAAATGTCAGGATAGTAAGATTCTCCTGGGTCTGAATTATAATACAAACCAAGAATGGTGCAAAGTCCTGATCGTGTAAAACATGGTGCCGGAAATGGATTTGGTGACATGAAAGAACAGATTGAGGGATTTATCAAGGTATGAGAGGGCGACAAGATTTGTAATCTAAACTAAGAGCAAGAATAATGTATGGGTTATCATGGGGCACGGACTGCAGCATTGTTAGACGTTAGACAGATCTCTGTCCTGAGCAGGAGATAAAGTCTGGGCTTTTTGAGCAGGAATGATCAGCAGTGATCGATTTTCATGGTTCTTCAAACAAACTTTGGTTCCCAAACCTCTGCCAGTTTATTTAGGCTTTCAAGAAATGTAGAACCACGTTGTCCCACAACTGCAATCATATTACTGCTGCTATCAGTGATTACCAAACGTATCTTCTGCCAAATAAATTGCCCCAAAGTATCAGCCATTGAGGTCAATAATCCACATTTATCGAAGATCAAACTGAATCATGTGTCTGGATACAATGTGTCTATATGCTGTTACCTACATAATGTATTGCAGTCTGAAATTCAAAAATGAACCTGCATCTAAATAGGAGTTTATTCACTAAACAAAACTTTAAAACATTTGGTTGAATTAGCTGAGATTGGAAAACAACCAAGCTAAACATTTTAATAAAACATCTCAGCTTTTTTATTCTAAACTCCAGTGCTAACTTTTCCTTTTCTTAGTTCACTGTTTAGTGAATTGTAGCAGATGGCATTGGGCTGTCCTCAGAATTATGTATATTCGTATGTTTTCGGTTTAATTTTGCCATGTGTATGTCAAGTGTATGCAGCATTCTCTGATTGTTTACTCCAGTTATTATGCGAGTGAAACTACTGAACAATCAGACCACCCCAGGAATAAGTGTGCCTCCAATTACCGTTCACAACAATGTTGCAAACGGGTAATTGGCAATTCATGCAGTGTGTACTTTGTCCTCTGGGTGGCCGCCATTCGGGAAACGAACATGTGGCGGCGGCCATCTTAGACTCCCGAACAGCTGTGTTTTGCCGTTGAATGTCTGGAACCCAAATCGGACACTCAGTTAGGCAAACACCGCTGAGACCTCCATACTGCCGCCAATTCTTGTAAGAACTACCGAACGGCTCCCTGTTCGGTAGAAAGAACCCCACGAACAAGGGGATTTAACCGAATCCTCCCCAGTTCTCATAACCCAAGCCATTCGTGTGTTTCATTCCCTTTTCTGTGACCGACCGCAGGGCCAAAATGTATGGAACCCTTTTCGGCTGTTAACTCCAGCGTGGTCTGTCTTTTTAATACTTCCAGGAATTTCCCGAACCCCTGGTCCGATCTGGGTGATTTTTGGATATGTGTCTCACCCAGATCAGGGCTACCAGGGGATGTAATATTTAAAGGGCTACCCCTATGTTTAGGGGTACATCCAGAAAACAAGAGGAACTGTGTCCTGCATAATGGGATTATGTGTCATACTAAGGGGAGAGGATGTGTGGGTGGCAACTTGTGTATGATTGGTGTATTGTGTAATTACTGTAAATCCCTCCCTTGCATGGGAGAAAGCTTTAAAAGAAGGTTGCGTGATTAAAAGTTGAGTTCTGCTCCTGATACTGTGTGTGTCGTCCAGTCATTGGGATTGATGTTGGGATATTATTGGATTGTCTTGCCTGCTGGAATTATTGCCTTATGGATTTTTAATACTTGTTCCTGAGCCTCACTGGGTTCTTGAGTGGAGATAACCTGTGGAATATCAGCTCTCCTTTACATTGGTGCAGTGGGATCCAGACTCACAAAGGAACAAGGATTAATGGAGATTGATTACTCCACATTAAAACGATCCACACCTGAAGATCTTCTGGAAGCAAGAGGTATTCCAGCCAGCAATAAAACAAAGGCAACACTCATCTCTGAAGTAATGGCAGAATACCGAACAGAGGGATGCGACAGACGGAACGGAGCAAGCAGAGTTCCAAAGGCAGCTCCAATTCAGACTGTCCTTTTATGGGGATAATCCACCAATAGAGATTATCTCCAAGATGATGACAGAGGTCCAGGAGTTTATAATGCGGCAAAGAAGGCCATAAACACTGGAAAGAAGCACAGCAGTGTCTATGGTACAAGAGGGTAAGCCGAAAATCCCATACCAAGCGTTTAAAATGTATGTAAAAGTGGAGGAAGATATAGACGCATTCCTCCAAGATTTTGAGAGACTGTGCACGCTACATAAAATAAATATGGAAGACTGGGTCCCCATCCTAGCAGGACGGTTAACGGGGAGAGCCGCTGAAGCATACCGTACTATACCAGATACAGAGATCGGTGATTACAGCCGGGTAAAAGAAGTTATCCTGGCCCGGTATGCCATCACACCAGAAGCCTACCGGAGGCGCTTCAGGGAATTGAAAAAAGCGGAAAAGGACTCGCATGTAGAATGGGCTTGCCGATTACAAAGGGCAGCCCTCGGATGGGTACAGGCAAACCAGGCACTGTCCATGGAGGACCTATTACAAATGCTGCTGTTAGAACAGTTTTATGACAGGATACCCGCAGATCTTCAGGAGTGGGTGAGAGACCGCAACCCCATGTCTATCACAGAAGCGGCTAAAAAGGCTGATGATTATATGGATGCCCGCAGGCAGCACAAGCTTGTGGGTGTTAAGCCAGATGTGCGACCCCTAGGAGGAAACAGTTTTCCCACTGGCACAAATGCACCACCGAGACAACTACCCCCACCAGCTCCTACAGCTACTCAACCGAGGTTCCGCCAACCCTCCTCTGTGCAATGCCACCAGTGCCAGAGGTGGGGACGCTACAAGCGGGACTGCCCACATCTTCGAGACCGATTCACCTGGATCCGACCAGGTCCACCCCCACCACCGAGAGCAGCAGCACACCACTACCAGGACGAGACACCCGCCGCATATGGCTCTGCAGTTCCCGTCACTACCATAGAACAGTGGGAAGTACTACATGAAGCCAACCCACTACAAGCAAATGTGGATAATCGTCAACATCACAGGCAAACAGTCTACCTGGAGGGAAAAGCTGTGCAGGGACTACGAGATTCAGGGGCCACCATAACCCTGGTCCAAAGCCACTTGGTTTGTGACAAAGTCAAAACCAGTAGGACTATAGCTGTCAGTGATGCCGGGGGAGCCGTATACCGGCTGAATACAGCACAAGTTCATATGCATTGGGGAGCGGGAAATGTGGAAGTGGGGTTGATGCCACAATTACCCGCAGAGGTGGTACTAGGAAACGATCTGGGAAAGCTCAGCTCTGCTTTTGAGCCCCAAACCACAATCACTGAGGAAGCGCATCCAGTGGTCACCAGGCAACAGGCTCGCACCCAGGACTACAACACACTGGCGGAGGTTCAGGTAAGAAAGCCTTCCCCTTCCCTAGACTGTGTCCCTTGGGCCCCTCCTAACGAATTTGCGGCAGAGGTGATCACTGACCCTACCCTACAGGTATATAGAGACAAAGTCACCTCTGACCAACCTGGGGCGGAGGGGGAAAGATTTGTATGGGATAGGCAGGTAGCTGGGTCACACCCGATTGTTCTAAGGCAGTTAGTCGTACCACAGAGGTACCGAGCCAAATTGCTCCTGATAGCTCACGATATTCCGCTATCCAGGCATTTGGGGGTCAGTCGTACCCGATACCGACTGACCCAGAGTTTCTTTTGGCCAGGAATTAGCCAGAAAGTCCATAAATATTGCAGCACCTGCGATACGTGCCAGAGGGTAGGGAAGAGGGGGGACCGGCGGAAGGCAAAGTTGCATCCCATACCTATAATTGAGGAACCGTTTTATAGGATAGCAGTAGATCTCATAGGTCCCCTTCGGAAACCTAGCCCTTCTGGCAAGAAATATATTTTAACAGTGGTGGATTACGCCACCCGCTACCCGGAGGCAGTAGCCCTGACAAATATCCACGCAGAAACCGTGGCTGAGGCCCTGATGCAGATTTTCTCCCGGATGGGATTACCCAGGGAGATCATCTCGGATCAGGGTACTTAGTTCACCGCAGAGGTCACTCAGCATTTCTGGAAATTCTGTGACGTTAAACCTATAATCAGTGCCCCCTACCATGCCCAGACCAATGGGCTCTGCGAACGGTTCAATGGTACATTAAAACAAATGCTCTGAACCTTTGCTGAGACCCACCGGGATTGGGATCGATTCCTGCCCCACCTCCTCTTCACTTACCGGGAGGTGCCGCAGGAATCAACCGGGTTTTCCCCATTCAAACTGCTATTCTGGAGGAGAGTAAGAGGGTCCCTAGACCTAAATAGGGAACATTGGGAGGGAGACCGAAGCGCGGACGGTACCCCCATTGTACCTAGAAGCGCTAACTAGGACGGTAAAGGAAAACCTTCAGGCGGCTCAGACGCGCCAATGCACCCGGTATGATCGAGGCGCCAGGGACCGTAGCTTCCAGGTTGGGCAGAAAGTTTTAATTTTAAAACCTGTCCGACATGATAAGCTACAGGCCGCCTGGCAAGGCCCTTATAAAATGGTGGAACAGAGATGTGACACCACTTATATAATTGGCCCCAGAGCAGGGACTGGAGGGCGACGCATGCTCCATGTGAACATGATGAAGCCCTACCAGGAACGCTCAGAAGAGGTGACCGCTATTTGTGCACCCAACTCTGACGAGTTTGGCAGCCTTCCCCTCTCAGATCTACTGGGAGACAGTCAGCTGTCTGGGATTTAGGAGAAGTTGTGCTGGGAGACAGGCTGAGCCCGCAGGAACGTACCAAGGTACAACAGCTGCTAAGAGAGAAGCAAGATACCTTCTCTAATGTGCCTAGGTACACTCCTCTAGCCACTCACCGGGTAGAAACCCCAGGCCAACTTCCCATGCGCCAGACCCCGTACCGCATCCCTGAAGCGGTGCGGGAGAATATGCACAAGGAGATCGATGAGATGCTCCAAATGGGGGTGATTGAGCCCTCGGACAGCCCCTGGGCTTCTCCAGTAGTCCTCGTACCAAAGCAGGACGGTACGACCCGCTTCTGCGTGGACTACCGGAGGTTGAATGAAAAGACAGTATCAGACGCTTATCCAATGCCCAGGATAGACGAACTGCTAGACCAGATGGCCAGAGGCCAATACCTCACTACTATTGATCTGTGTAAGGGGTATTGGCAGATTCCCTTGGCTCCGGACGCCATCCCTAAGTCAGCCTTTGTCACCCCATTCGGCCTGTACCACTTTAAAGTCATGCTGTTTGGGATGAAAAACGCTCCGGCTACCTTCCAGCGGATGGTGGACCGACTCCTAGATGGGTTCCAGGACTACACCTGCACATATCTGGACAATATTGCCATTTTTAGCAATACCTGTCAGGAGCACTTGGCTATATAGGAGCGGTTCTAGACAGGATTAGGGAGGCCGGTTTGACGTTGAAACCGGCCAAATGCAGTATAGAGATGGCCGAGGTACAATACCTGGGCCATCGAGTGGGCTGTGGGAAACAGAAACCAGAACCAGCCAAAGTAGAGGCCGTAGCCCAATGGCCCACCCCTAGGACTAAGACTCAGGTGTTGGCATTTCTCGGGACAGCAGGATACTATAGGAAGTTTGTCCCCAATTATAGCGCCCTGGCCAAACCCCTTACTGACCTGACCCATAAGAACCTTCCCCGCCAAGTAACCTGAACCCTGGAGTGTGAGCAGGCATTCCAACATCTGAAAAATGCACTTATCAATGCCCCTGTCTTGGCAACTCCCAATCAAACTAAAGGTTTTCTTGTTCACACAGACGCTTCTATGTTTGGATTGGGGCAGTGCTGAGCCAAGTCGGGGCCGATAGCAGAGAAGGAAGCTATGCTGCCATCTAGAAGGAATGCCTGACTGTGGTGTGGGCCCTAAAGAAGTTGCAGCCGTATTTGTATGGACAGCCCTTTTCCTTGCTCACGGTTCACAACCTGTTGGTATGGCTGAACCGGGTGGCTGGGGACAATGCCAGGCTGATGCACTGGAGTTTGGCGCTGCAGCCCTTTGACTTTAACATTCAGTACCACCCGAGCAAACAAAATGGAAATGCTGATGGGTTGTCTAGACAAACCGACTTGGAAAAATGATCCGTGAGCACCCCGGACATCCCCAAGCCGATCCGTGCTGGATCAGACTGTGTATGCCGGCTTGTGGGCAAGGGGGAGTAGTGTAGTGAATGGCATTGGGCTGTCCTCAGAATTATGTATATTTCAGTTTAATTTTGCCATGTGTATGTCAAGTTTATAAAGCATTCGTCTGATTGTTCGGTAAAATCACTCCAGTTATTATGCGAGTGAAACTACCGAACAATCAGACCACCCCAGGAATAAGTATGCCTCCAATTACCGTTCGCAACAATGTTGCAAACGGGTAATTGGCAATTCATGTAGTGTGTACTTCATCCTCTGGGTGGCCGCCATTCGGGAGACGAACACGTGGCGGCGGCCATCTTAAACTCCCGAACAGCGGTGTTTTGCCGTCGAGTGTCTGGAACCCAAATCGGACACTCGGTTAGGCAAACACCACTGAGACCTCCATACTGCCGCCAATTCGTGTAAGAACTACTGAACGGCTCCCCGTTCGGTAGAAAGAACCCCACGAACAAGGGGATTTACCCGAATCCTCCCCAGTTCTCATAATCCAAGCCATTCGTGTGTTTCATTCCCTTTTCTGTGACCGACCGCAGGGCCAAAATGTATGGAACCCTTTTCAGCTGTTAACTCCAGCGCGGTCGGTCTTTTTAATACCTCCAGGAATTTCCCGAACCCCTGGTCCGATCTGGGTGATTTTTTATGTGTCTCACCCAGATCAGGGCTACCAGGGGATGTAATATTTAAAGGGGTACCCCTATGTTTAGGGGTGCATCCAGAAAACAAGGGGAAAAACAAGGGGAACTGTGTCCTACGTAATGGGATTATGTGTCATACTAAGGGGAGGGGATGTGTGGGTGGCAACTCGTGTGTGATTGGTGTATTTTGTAATTACTGTAAATCCCTCCCTTGCATGGGAGAAAGCTTTAAAAGAAGGTTGTGTGATTAAACATTGAGTTCTCCTCCTGATGCTGTGTCGTCGTTCAGTCATTGGGATTGATGTTGGGATATTGTTGGATTGTCTTGCCTGCTGGAATTATTGCCTTATGGATTTTTAATACTTGTTCCTGAGCCTCACTGGGATTTTGAGTGGAGGTAACCTGTGGAATATCATCTCTCTGCTTCATGAATTATACACTGAGAAAAATCAGTAGAAGTGAGTAAAATCTGTTATCGGTGGCGCTTTAAACATCTGTGCCAGGTGTGTCCAACGTGGCACTACAGAGATGGCAGAGGTCTCGAAAACCCTCCTCTGTGGGCTAAAGAAAGTTTGGCAAAAAATCTAACATTGGAATGAGACTGAAAATATTAAGTAATATTTTAATAATTGATTATTCTTAAATAATATTATTTATATTCTTTAGATTTTCACACAAATGTCTAATTTGTTCATTCTGTGGTTAATTATCTCGTGTACTGGCAGAAATGGACCATTTGTGACTAGCTTTACCTTATTCTTAGTACATCCCTCTATACGTGTATAGTTAGCAGAGTCCCAGCTGTGTGTTATTAGCCATGCATTCTTTGACGTGACAGGCTAAAAAGGCAAAGATAATGCCCTGACTGAGGAAGCCTGGACAACATTAAAAAAACGCAGAATATGTTCCGTCACTTTTACAAATAACAGGATGTCTGTTGTTTATATGCTTATCTGAGGTTAGGGGGGCCTGCAGGTTAGGGGACCAGCCGGTTAGGGAGACTTGCCAGTTAGGGGATCTTCATGTTAGGGGGACCTGCAAGTTAGGGGGATCTGCAGGTTAAGGGGATCTGCAAGTTAGTGGTACCTGCAGAGTAGGGGGATCTTCAAGTCAGGGGGATTTTGAGGTTTGGGGGACTTGCCGGTTAGGGAGATCTCTAAGTTAAGGGGACCTGCCAGTTAGGGGGAATCTGATCAGACTTGTAGTCAGAGCCTGTACTGTTAAGAGGATACAGTTCTGGTAAATCTATTCTACAGAGCAGAATTATAATTATTATTTTTTTTAACATTGTTAAAGTAGCCATAAAATCATAAGAAAGGAACATTTTGTTTGTTACAGTTTTGATGTGTCTGACAAATGTTACGATTACCCAACTTGATGGTAATTTTTATCGTCCTTAGAAGGATGACAAACCGAGTTGAAGTTGAACCGGTGACCCTGTTACTGCAGGTAGAGCTCTGTCTACTGAGCTATCTCGTCTGATCAATCATATTACTGTAAAGAGTGTAAAAAAAACAAGGCTGGGACACAAGAAACAGGAGCCCTCAAAACACACGTTCCTTTATAATAAATAAATTCAATCTATAAGGGACAGGTTTGTACAAAGCACGCTGTGGTCTATTTTCTTAACTCAAAATTATGGTGTATTGTAAACCAGAATGAGGCTTTAAAAAGCACAAATATTCAGCAGTCAGAATCAGAGACAACCTAAATATTTTGATTCTGATTTCAATTCAAGTTGCCAGTTGGGGCCTCCATGGATCGGATTTGGGGCCTCCATGGAACGGTTCCAGCAAGTCCCACAGATGCTCCATCGGACTTAGATCTGGGAATTTGGAGGTCAACGCAACACCTTGAACTCTTTGTCATGTTCCTCAAAACATTCCTGAACAATTCTTGCGTGTGAAAGGGTGCATTATCCTGCTGAAAGAGGCCACTGCCTTCATGGACACTATTACCACGAGGGTGTGTATGTGGTCTGGAACAATCTGTAGGTAGCCAGTCCATGTCAAAGTAACATCGACCTGAATGGCAGGACTTTCCCAGCAGAACATTGCCAAGAGCATAACACTGCTTCTGCCGTCCTGCCTTCTACCCATAGTGCATCCTGCTGCCATCTCAGTGGTGCACATTCACCTGGCCATCCACCTGATCTACAAGAACACGTGATTTATCAGACCAGGCAACCTTCTTCCATTGCTCCATGGTCCTGCTCTGACACTCACATTCCCATTGAAGGCACCTTTGGAGGTGGACAAGGCTCATCATGGGCTCTCTCTGACAATAACAAACTGCGATGCACTGTGTGTTCTGACACCTTTCTATCATGGCCAGAATCCTCCCCACCCCCCGCCCCCAGCAAATAGAGATACTGTAGCACTTCTGTGTGATTGGACCAGACAAGCTAGCCGTTGCTCCCCACGTGCATCAATGAGCCTTGGGCACCCATATCCCTGACGCTGGTTCACTAGTTGTCCATCCTTGCACCACTTTTGGTAGGTACTAACCACTGCAGACTGGAAATATCACACAAGACTTGCCGTTTTGGAGATCCTCTGACCCAGTCTTCTATCCATCTCTATCTGTCCCTCTTCAAAGTCACTCAGATCTTTTCATTTTCCCATTCTTCCTGCTTCTAACACGTGAAATTCAAGAATTGACTGTTCACTTGCTGCCTAATATCCCCCACCCCTAGATAGGTACCATTGTAAATGTTATTCATTTCACCTGTCAGTGGTTTTAATGTTGTGGCTGATCAGTGTATAACAATAGACACAATTAAATATTGATTCCTGATTGCAGTGTGGTCACCAATGATATGTGAAAAACGAAATAAATAACTGGATATGGTGTAATATGCACAATGGACAAATAGTGCCAAACATTATATCACAGTCACATTTATAAGAGTATCTCAGTGCTCATGGTAGTGTATATATAGTGGTATAATCATGGTAGCGTATATATAGAGTGGTATAATAATGTTAGCGTATATATAGTGGTATAATCATGGTAGTGTATATATAGTGGTATAATCATGGTAGTGTATATATAGTGGTGTAATCATGGTAGCGTATATATAGTGGTATAATCATGGTAGCGTATATATAGTGGTATAATCATGGTAGCGTATATATAGTGGTATAATCATGGTAGCGTATATATAGTGGTATAATCATGGTAGCGTATATATAGTGGTGTAATCATGGTAGCGTATATATAGTGGTGTAATCATGGTAGCGTATATATAGTGGTGTAATCATGGTAGCGTATATATAGTGGTATAATCATGGTAGCGTATATATAGTGGTATAATCATGGTAGCGTATATATAGTGGTATAATCATGGTAGCGTATATATAGTGGTATAATCATGGTAGCGTATATATAGTGGTATAATCATGGTAGCGTATATATAGTGGTGTAATCATGGTAGCGTATATATAGTGGTGTAATCATGGTAGCGTATATATAGTGGTATAATCATGGTAGCGTATATATAGTGGTGTAATCATGGTAGCGTATATATAGTGGTGTAATCATGGTAGCGTATATATAGTGGTGTAATCATGGTAGCGTATATATAGTGGTATAATCATGGTAGCGTATATATAGTGGTGTAATCATGGTAGCGTATATATAGTGGTATAATCATGGTAGCGTATATATAGTGGTATAATCATGGTAGCGTATATATAGTGGTGTAATCATGGTAGCGTATATATAGTGGTATAATCATGGTAGCGTATATATAGTGGTATAATCATGGTAGCGTATTATAGTGGTTAACAAATATTATTTCACGTTAATAAATAAATAAATATATTTGTTCCGTATTTAATATTACACACCCACCCTCGCCTAACCTAGCCCTTGGCCTTAAGGATCATGATAGTCACCCAGATCACTTCATCTCAATGCAGCAGAGGAGTCCTGGGACTGGAAACTAGGTAGTTAATGTTTATTTTACTTAAACACAAAGTGGGGTGGTCAGAAGTGAACCCACAACCCCGATTTTTATTTACAGGAGTATATGTTCCCATTAAATAAACACATCATTTGCTAATGATTTTGTCTAATAGAACCCAGCGTCCGTTCCATGTTAGATTTTGTTACGCGGTGTTGGGTATATTGTAAGACCAGACGTTATTAAGCCACCTAGGCTCCCAAGCATTATTCCAGCAAGTTCTGACCTCAGCTGCAGGCATCTGTCAGTGTCCAGCTGACAAGCAGCGCTCGGTGACCTCATAATTCGCATATTTTTTGGGAAATTGTCAATGAAGCAGTTCCCACACATAGCCCCCACGATGGACAAGTCCTCAGTTTTTAGCCCTGTTTGTTTATCTCTCTATCTCCCTCTGTCTAGTCTGTCTCTCTGTCTCCTGCTGTCTCTGTGTCTGTCTCTCTGTCTCCTGCTGTCTATGTGTCTGTCTCGCTATCTCTTGCTGTCTCTGTGTCTGCCTCTCTATCTCCTGCTGTCTCTGTGTCTGTCTCTATCTCCCTCTGTCTCTTTGTCTGTCTTTCTATCTCCCGCTGTCTCTGTGTCTGTCTCTCTGTCTCCTGCTGTCTCTGTGTATGTCTCTCTGTCTCCTGCTGTCTCTGTGTCTGTCTCTCTGTGTGCCACCAATGCTCGTAGCGCACCATAAACTTGCTCCAACTTAATTTCCACACCCCTATCTCGCTTAGTCGAAGAAAAACCCTCCAGATTTATGTAAATATACAGGTTAAACTACAAGTATTAAATCCGCTAACAAACGTAGCCTGTTCTTTGCAGCAAAACAGCTGCTTTCAGGATCCTAACTTCCCCTTATCTACCCCCAATGTACAGAAATAGAGAGAGAGAGACACACAGAGACAGCGGGAGACAGAGAGACAGACATAGAGACAGCAGGAGACAGAGACACAGAGAGACAGACACAGAGACAGCGGGAGATAGAAAGACAGAGACAGCAGGAAACAGAGAGACAGACACAGAGACAGCAGGAGACAGAGAGACAGCAACAGAGACAGCGGGAAATAGAAAGAGAGACACAGAGACAGAGGAAGATAGAGAGACAGACACAGAGACAGCAGGAGACAGAGAGACAGAGACAGCGGGAGATAGAAAGACAGACAAAGAGACAGAGGGAGATAGAGAGATAGAGAGACAGACACAGAGACAGAGAGACAGACACAGAGACAGTGAGAAACAGAGAGACAGACACAGACACAAAGACAGCGTTAGATAGAAAGACAGACAGAGAGAGATGGGAGATAGAGAGACAGACACAGAGACAGCAGGAGACAGAGAGACAGACACAGAGACAGCGGGAGATAGAAAGACAGACAAAGAGACAGAGGGAGATAGAGAGACAGACACAGAGACAGCAGGAGACAGAGACACAGAGATAGTGGGAGACAGAGAGACAGACACAGAGACAACGGGAGACAGAGAGACAGACACAAAGACAGCGGGAGATAGAAAGACAAACAAAGAGACATAGAGAGATAGAGAGACAGACACAGAGACAGCAGGAGACAGAGAGACAGACACAGAGACAGCGGGAAACAGAGAGATAGACACAGACACAAAGACAGCGTTAGATAGAAAGGCAGACAGAGAGAGATGGGAGATAGAGAGATAGAGAGGCAGACACAGAGACAGCAGGAGACAGAGAGACAGACACAGAGACAGCGGGAGATAGAAAGACAGACAAAGAGACAGAGGGAGATAGAGAGATAGAGAGACAGACACAGAGACAGCAGGAGACAGAGATACACAGAGAGTGGGAGACAGAGAGACAGACACAGAGACAATGGGAGACAGAGAGACAGACACAAAGACAGCGGGAGATAGAAAGACAGACAAAGAGACAGAGGGAGATAGAGAGATAGAGAGACAGACACAGAGACAGCAGGAGACAGAGAGACACAGAGACACAGAGACAACGGGAGACAGAGAGACAGACACAGAGACAACGGGAGACAGAGAGACAGACACAAAGACAGCGGAGATAGAAAGACAGACAAAGAGACAGATGGGAGATAGAGAGACAGACACAAAGACAGCTTGGAGGAAAGACGAGACAGGGGGGATATGATAGAAACATTTAAATATATAAAGGGAATCAACACAGTAAAGGAGGAGACTATATTTAAAAGAAGAAAAACTACCACAACAAGAGGACATAGTCTTAAATTAGAGGGACAAAGGTTTAAAAATAATATCAGGAAGTATTACTTTACTGAGAGGGTAGTGGATGCATGGAATAGCCTTCCAGCTGAAGTGGTAGAGGTTAACACAGTAAAGGAGTTTAAGCATGCGTGGGATAGGCATAAGGCTATCCTAACTATAAGATAAGGCTAGGGACTAATGAAAGTATTTAGAAAATTGGGCAGACTAGATGGGCCGAATGGTTCTTATCTGCCGTCACATTCTATGTTTCAATGTTTCTATGAGATAGAAAGACAGACAAAGAGACATAGGGAAATAGAGAGACAGAGACAGTGGGAGACAGAGAGAGCGGGAGATAGAGAGACAGACACAGAGACAGCGGGAGATAGAAAGACAGACACAGAGACAGAGGGAGATAGCGATACAGACACAGAGACAGCAGGAGATAGAAAGACAGACACAGAGACAGAGGGAGATAGAGATACAGACACAGACACAATGGGAGATAGAAACACAGACACAGAGACTGCGAGACATAGAGAGACAGACACAGAGATAGCGGGAGATAGAGAGGCAGAGACAGACAGGCACACAAGCAGACAATAGATAGATAGATAATATATAGATAGAAAATATATAGATAGATATTGATAGATAGATAGATAGATAAATAGATAGATAGATAGACAGACAGACAGATAGATAGATAGATAGATAGATAGCGAGAGAGAGAGAAATAGAGAGATAGATAGATATTGATAGATAGATAGATATTGATTGATAGATTAATAGATAGATAGATAGATACATAGATAGATAGATATTGATAGATAGATAAATAGATAGATAGACAGACAGATAGATAGATAGCAAGAGAGAGAGATAGATAGATAGATAGACAGATAGATATATACAGAGACAGTAATTTATATAATTATATTTTATCTTGTCTAAGGGTTCTGGATATACATATTTTTTTTCTTTCCTAATATAAAGCACTGGATTCTATAATTTTCCTTGTATCACAGAGCGTTACGCTGAGTTAATGGGAAGTTAATTCTTGCAGAGAGAGTGAACGCCTGTCCGTCCACCTGCTGCACACAGAGCGTTCACAGCTGGGAATGGGAGGCTGCTTGGCCCATCACACTGCCGAGATCCACTAATTGCTCTCCCAAGATTTAGGAAGCATTTCCTTCCAGAGCAAGTTGTCCAGATGTCAGCAGAAAGCCGTTACAGATGTCCATTACCATGAAACTCCCAGATCCCCTCCGTAGCCGTCACACTGAGATTCTGCTTACTTTGTAAGTTCAAGGAGCTAGCCTCACATCCCTCGCCAGAGTTTAAATGATGTCATGTACAACGGTTGGACTTGCTTAAAGGAAACGTCAGCATTTTATGATTATTAAAATCAAAGATTGCATGTGTTATAACCTCAGCGATAGCACTGTGTGATTCGTTATATGTAAATATTCTCTCACCTGCTGGATCTGAACACTTACTCTTGTTCCACCTTGTTGTCTTGTTATATCTTTAAAGGGCAGTGTCACATCGTTCTTACCTCGTCCCAATCGCTCTTCTCTTCCTTGTCTCTTCCTCATTTCTTCCTCATCGCTTCCTTGTCTTTTCCTCTTCTCTTCCTCATTGCTTCCTCATCTCTTCTTCATCGCTTCCTTTTCTCTTCCTTGTCTCTTCCTCATCTCTTCCTCATCACGTCCTTGTCTTTTCCTATTCTCTTCCTCATCGCTTCTGTAGCGGATGGCACTGGGCTGTCCTGGAAATTGCATATGTTTGAATGTATTCGTGTAAATTGAAGGATATTATGTGTATAAATAACTTGTATTCGTCTGATTGTTCGGTAGAATCATTCTAGCAACTAAGGGAATGAAACTACCGAACAGTCAGACCTCCCCTGTGTGAAGTGTGCCTTCAATTACCCGTTGCAACAATGTTGCAACGGGTAATTGACAAGCTGTGTAGTAGGTCCTTTGTTCTCGGGGTGGCCGCCATTCGGGAAACGAAAACTCCCGAACAGCGGTGTTTTGCCGTCGAGTGTCTGGAACCCAAATCGGACACTCGACTAGGCAAACACCGCTGAGACCTCAATACGCACGATACGTTCGCTTCCAAACTACCGAACCCTCCCTGATCTCTGTAACCTTAGCCTTTCGTGCAGTTTGTTCCCTTAGGTTACCAGAACAGGATTGGATACTGTAATAATTAATGGAAATCCCTCCCTTGCATGGGAGCATGCTTTATAAGGCCACTGTGGAAATAAAGGTTCAGTTCTGCTCCTGATGCTGTGTGTCGTCCAGTTATTGGGATTGCTGTTGGGATATTGCTATATTGTTTTACCTGCTAGAAACCTTGCTTTATGGATTTTTTAATTATTTGTTCCTGAGCCTCACTGGGATCTTAAGCGGAGATAACTTGTGGAATACTAGATCTCCGCTAGATTGGTTGGCAGCGCTGGGATCCAGACTCACAAAGGAACAAGGATTGATGGAGATTGATTACTCCACATTAAAGCGATCCACACTGAAAGATCTTCTGGAAGCAAGAGGTATTCCAGCCAGCAACAAGACAAAAGCAACACTTATTTCGGAAGTAATAGCAGAGTACCGAACAGAGGAGGATTCGGTTAACGAACAGAGGGAGGCAACAGAGAGAACGGAGCAGGAAAAGTTCCAAAGACAGCTCCAATTTAGACTGTCACTTTATGGGGAGAACCCACCGATAGAAATCATCTCCAAGACAATGACAGAGGTCCAGGAATTTATAATGCGGCAAAGAGGGCCACAAACACCAGAGAGAAACACAGCGGTATCTACAGTACAAGAGGGTAAGACAAAAATTCCTTACCAAGCATTTAAAATGTATGTGGAGGCCGAAGAGGATATAGACGCATTCCTCCAGGACTTTGAGAGACTGGGTATGCTGCATAAAATAAATAGGGAGGATTGGGTCCCCATCTTGGCAGGACGGTTGACAGGGAGAGCTGCTGAAGCCTACCGTACTATACCAGATACGAAAATCAGAGACTATAGCCGGGTAAAGGAAGTCATTCTGGCCCGATATGCTATTACCCCAGAAGCGTATCGGAGGCGCTTCTGGGAATTGAAAAAGGCGGATAAAGATTTGCATGCCGAATGGGCTTGCTGATTACAACGGGCAGCCCTCGGATGGGTGCAAGCGAACCAGGCATGGTCCATGGAGGACCTATTACAAATGCTGCTACTGGAACAATTTTATGACGGGATACCCGCAGACCTGCAGGAGTGGGTAAGAGACCGTAACCCCACTTCTATTACAGACACAGCTAAAAAGGCTGATGATTACATGGATGCGAGAAGGCAACGCAAACCAGTGGTAATCAAAGCAGCTGTAAGGCCAGTCGGAGGGGGGCTACCCCAACAACACAGTACCCCACCACGACAACTACCACTACCCCCAACAACTGCCCCACCGAGATTTTGACAGCCCAGCTCTGTGCAATGCCACCACTGCCAGAAGTGGGGGCATTACAAGTGAGAATGTCCACAGCTCAGAGACCGGTCCACCTGGATTCGACCAGGACCACCACCACCACCACTGAGAGCAGCCACCCACTACTATCAGGATGAGAGCACGACCCCATATGGTGCAGCAATTCCCATCACGACTACAGAGCAACTGGAAGTACTCCACGAAGCCGATCCAGTACAGGCCAATGTGGACAATCGCCAGCACCACAGACAGACTGTGTATTTGGAGGGGAAAGCGGTCCAAGGACTACGTGACTCAGGAGCCACTATAACCCTGGTAAAAAGTCATCTGGTCGCGGATAAGGCCAAGACCAACAAAACTGTAGCCGTCAGGGTAGCCGGGGGAGCAGTGTACCGGCTACCTACAGCAAGGGTTCATTTGCATTGGGGAGCGGGGTCAGGGAACGTGGAAGTGGGGTTGATGCCGCAGTTACCGGCGGAAGTTTTTCTGGGGAATGATCTGGGGAGGCTCACTGCTTTTGAGCCCCAGACACCCACCACAGGGGAAGCTCATCCTGTGGTCACCCGACAGCAGGCCCGCACCCAGGACCACAACACACTCCCGGAGGTTCAGGTAAGAGACCCTTCCCCTTCCTTAGAGTGTGTCCCCTGGGCCCCCACTAATGAATTCGAAGCAGAAGTAATAACTGACTCCACGCTGCAAGTATATAGGGACAAGGTTGTCACTGACTCACCCGGGGGGGAGGGAGAGAGATTTGTCTGGGACAAGCAGCTTCTATACTGGGAGTCTGACAAGCAGATAGTGATGAGGCAGCTAGTGGTGCCGCAGCGGTACCGAGCAGAGTTACTCCGGATAGCGCATGATATTCCGTTATCTGGACATTTAGGGGTCAGTCGCACTAGGTACAGACTGACCCAAAGTTTCTTCTGGCCAGGGATCAGCCAGGAAGTGCGCAAGTATTGCAGTACGTGCGATACCTGCCAGAGGGTAGGAAAAAGGGGAGACCGAAGGAAGGCAAAACTACACCCCCTACCCATAATTGAGGAACCCTTTAGCAGAATAGCTGTAGATTTGATAGGCCCTCTCAAGAAAGCTAGCCCGTCAGGCAAAAGATACATTTTAAGTGTAGTAGATTATGCCACTAGATATCCAGAGGCGGTGGCTCTGACCAACATCCACGCAGAAACGGTCGCGGATGCCCTCATGCAGATCTTCTCCCAGATGGGGTTACCCAGGGAGATTATCTCGGATCAGGGTACCCAATTTACCGCAGAAGTCACCCAACACCTCTGGAGGATCTGCGGCATTAAGCCTATTATCAGTGCTCCTTACCACCCCCAGACTAATGGGCTCTGCGAACGGTTCAATGGTACATTGAAACAAATGCTCCGAACCTTCGCAGAGACTCAAAAGGACTGGGAGGGATTCCTGCCGCACCTCCTATTCGCTTACTGGGAGGTGCCACAGGAGTCCACAGGGTTTTCCCCGTTTGAACTGTTATTTGGGAGAAGAGTCAGAGGCCCCCTAGATCTCATTAGGGAACATTGGGAGGGAGACCAGAGCGCAGACGGCACTCCCATCATACCATATGTGTTGGCATTCCGAGACCGCCTGGAAGCATTAACCAGGATGGTAAGAGAAAATCTTCAGGCGGCACAGACCCGCCAGCGCAAATGGTATGATCGGGGCGCCAGGTACTGTAGCTTTCAGGTCGGGCAGAAAGTGTTGATTTTAAAACCTGTCCGACATGACAAGTTACAGGCCGCCTGGCAGGGACCATATAGGGTGGTGGAACAGAGATGTGACACCACCTATATAATCGGCCCCTGCACAGGGACTGGAGGGCGACGCATGCTCCATGTGAACATGATGAAGCCCTACCAGGAGTGCTCCGAGGAGGTAACCGCCATATGTGCGCCCAACTCTGACGAGTTTGACAGCTTACCTCTCCCAGACCTGCTGGGAGATGGGCAGTTGTCTGGAGATTTAGGGGAGGTTGCACTGGGAGACCGACTGAGCACACAGGAGCGTATCGAGGTACAACAGCTATTGGAAGAGAAACGAGACACGTTCTCTAATGTACCTGGATACACTCCTCTGGCCACTCACCGGGTAGAGACCCCAGGGCAACTACCCATGCGCCAGACCCCCTACCGCATCCCTGAAGCGGTGAGGGAGAATATGCGCAAGGAGATTGATGAGATGCTCCAACTGGGGGTAAATGAGCCCTCAGATAGTCCCTGGGCTTCTCCTGTAGTGCTTGTACCAAAGCGAGACGGTACGACTCGCTTCTGCGTGGACTACAGGAGATTGAACGAGAAAACCGTGTCTGATGCCTATCCCATGCCCCGGATAGATGAACTACTAGACAGGATGGCCAGGGGCCAATACCTCACTACTATTGACTTGTGTAAGGGGTATTGGCAAATTCCCCTGGCCCCAGACGCCATCCCTAAGTCGGCCTTTGTTACCCCATTTGGCTTGTACCAGTTCAGAGTCATGCCATTTGGGATGAAAATGCACCAGCTACTTTCCAGAGGATGGTGGACCAACTCCTGGATGGGTTCCAAGACTATACCTGTGCCTACTTAGACGATATTGCCATTTTTAGCAATACTTGGCAGGAGCACTTGGCCCATATTGGAGTGGTCCTAGAAAGGATTAGGGAGGCTGGTTTGACATTGAAACCGGCCAAGTGCAATATAGGGATGGCCGAGGTGCAATACCTGGGACATAGAGTGGGGTGTGGCAAGCAAAAGCCCGAACCAGCCAAAGTAGAGGCCGTGGCACAGTGGCCCACCCCTAGGACTAAGACCCAAGTTTTAGCGTTTCTAGGGACAGCCGGGTATTATAGAAAGTTTGTCCCCAATTATAGTGCCCTGGCCAAACCCCTCACCGACCTGACCCGGAAAAATCTTCCCCGCCAGGTGACCTGGACCCCGGAGTGTGAACAGGCATTCCAACATCTGAAAAATGCACTGATAAATGCCCCTGTCTTGGCAGCTCCCAATCCAACTAAACGTTTTCTTGTTCACACAGACGCTTCTATGTTTGGATTGGGGGAAGTACTGAGCCAAGTCGGGGCCGATGGCGGAGAACATCCCGTGGCTTACATCAGTCGCAAGTTACTACCCCACGAAGTAACCTACGTCACCATCGAGAAGGAATGCCTGGCTGTGGTGTGGACCCTAAAGAAACTGCAGCCGTATTTGTATGGACAGCCCTTTTCATTGCTCACGGATCACAACCCGTTGGTATGGCTGAACCGGGTGGCTGGGGACAATGCCAGGCTGCTGCGCTGGAGCTTGGCGCTGCAGCCCTTTGACTTTAATATTCAGTACTGCCCGGGTAAACAGAATGGGAATGCTGACGGGTTGTCAAGACAAACTGACCTGGAGAAGTGATCCGTGAGCCCCCAGACATCCCCAAGCCGATCCGTGCTGGATCAGACTGTGTATGCCAGCTTGTGGGCAAGGGGAAGCAGAATGTAGCAGAGATCTAGTATTCCACAAGTTATCTCCACTCAGTGAGGCTCAGGAACAAATAATTAAAAAAATCCATAAAGCAAGGTTTCCAGCAGGTAAAACAATATAGCAATATCCCAACAGCAATCCCAATAACTGGACGACACACAGCATCAGGAGCAGAACTGAACCTTTATTTCCACAGTGGCCTTATAAAGCATGCTCCCATGCAAGGGAGGGATTTCCATTAATTATTACAGTATCCAATCCTGTTCTGGTAACCTACACACATCTCCTCCCCTCAGCCTGACTCATAATCCCCTTATACAGTACACAAATTCCCCCAGTTTCTGGATGTACCCCTAAACCCCTTTAAATAGCACATCCCCTGGTAGCCCTGATCAGGGTGAGCAACATATCCAAAAATCACCCAGATCGGACCAGGGGTTCGGGAAATTTGTGGAGGTAATGAAAAGACCGACCGCGCTGGAGAGAAGAGCCGAATTGGGTTCCATGCGATGGGGCCCTGCGGTCGGTCACAGTATAAGGGAACAAACTGCACAAAAGGCTAAGGTAACAGAGATCAGGGAGGGTTCGCATGAATCCCCTCGTTCGGTTGTTTCTTTCTACCGAACGAGGGGCCATTCAGTAGTTTGGAAGCGAACGTATCGTGCGTATGGAGGTCTCAGCGGTGTTTGCCTAGTCGAGTGTCCGATTTGGGTTCCAGACACTTGATGGCAAAACACCGCTGTTCGGGAGTTTTAAAATGGCCGCCGCCACGTGTTCGTTTCCCGAATGGCGGCCAACCTGAGAACAAAGGACCTACTGCACAGCTTGTCAATTACCCGTTCGCAACATTGTTGCAACGGGTAATTGAAGGCACACTTCACACTGCGGAGGTCTGACTGTTCGGTAGTTTCATTCCCTTAGTTGCTAGAATGATTCTACCGAACAATCAGAAGAATACAAGTTATTTATACACATATAATCCTGAAATTTACACGAATACATTCAAACATATGCAATTTCCAGGACAGCCCAGTGCCATCCGCTACAGCTTCCTCTCCTCTTCCTCATTGCTTCCTCATCTCTTCCTCATCGCTTCCTTGTCTCTCCCTCTTCTCTTCCTCATCACTTCATCTCTTCCTCTTCTCTTCCTCATCGCTTCCTCATCTCTTCCTCTTTGTAGCGGAGAGCTGGTATTTCACAGGTTAACTCCACTAAAGATCCCAGTGAGGCTCAGGAACAAGTAATAAAAATACTGTAGAGTAATAATCCCAGCAAGCAAGGTAATCCACAAATATTCCCATACAGATCCCAATGACTGGACGACACACAGCATCAGGAGCAGAACTGACTTTTAATCCACACAACCTCCTTATAAAGCATTCTCCCATGCAAGGGAGGGATTCACCATAATTAGGACAGTAACCAATAATGTCACAGTTACCACCCACACATCTCCTCCCCTCAGTGTGACATATAATCCCATTAAACATGCTGTAGTTTTCCCAGATTTCTGGATGTACCCCAAAACAGTTAGGTACAATGGGCCAAGTGGCACCCCGTGGTAGCCCTGATCTGGGTGACCAACATATCCAAAATTCACCCAGATCAGACCAGGGGTTCGGGAGTTAGGTGGAAGGGACAATTTGACCAACCGCACACGAGGTGGTAGCCGAAAAGGGTTCCATGTGTTTTGGTCCTGCGGTCGGTCTCCGTTTGGGAGGTAAAATACACATAAATACACGACATCCACTATTAACATTGTATTCGCATGAATCCCCTTGTTCGGTACTTTTAACTCACCGAACAGGGGGCTGATTAGCCTTTCCGTTCAGGAGTTACGGAGCTCTGGAGGTCTTAGCAGTGTTCGGGTAATTGAGTGTCCGATTTGAGTTACAGACACTCGACGACCAAACACCGCTGAGGTTTTCGTGCGTAAGATGGCCGCCGCCACGTGTTTGTATGCCAAGCGGCGGCCACCCAGATACAGGCACAAAGTACCAATTAACCTGCGATTAAAGAAGTGTGAAGCCTAATAAGGTGCACACTTCTCTCTGGGGTGGTCTACTGGTTCGGTAGTTTTCATTCGTATGGGATACGGATGAAACTACCGAACAATCATACGAATACTATATACAGGAGAATACTATACAGGAGAATAAACACACAAATTGCAGTTTTAACATAGTCTTTTAGGGCAGCCGTAATACCATCCGCTACACTCTTCTCTTCCTCATCGCTTCCTCTTCTCTTCCTCTATTCTTCCTCATCTCTTCCTCGTCTCTTCTTCATCTCTTCCTCTTCTCTTCTTCTTTATCTCTTCTTCATCTCTTCCGCATCTCTTCCTCTTCTCTTCCTCTTTCCTACTAGTCTTTCTTTTTTTCATCTATTTCTAACTAAAAAGTATGTATTTTTCCTACATAGATAGATAGACCCCGGGTGGAGCTCCAATCATCTAGCAGTCTCAATCACCCCAGCCGTTACCAGTGACAGGGTTTTAGTTCTGTCCATGGAGCAGGATCCTCCATAGACATCAATGCTGTACTTTAGAAAATGCGTAAAAGTACAGCGACGATGTTGTCTCTGGGCACAGAAGGGCCAGGAGCTGAAGAGGACCCGTCGGAGGAAGATAGCGGCACCCACAAAGGACATGTTCAAGTAAGGAGATTTTGACTTTCCCTGCTTTACCTGTCACTCCCATCGACAATTTCACCGTCGTAAGTATTTGCAAATTCTGCAAAGTCCCATGACGATGACAGTGCCGCTTTAAGTCCTGTATGATTGGAATCACCACTTATCCGACTAATCACCATCCACAATATACCTGACTGTGTGTCTTACCTGGCAGTGTTTCTTACCTGGCTATGTGTCTGATTGACTGTCTGTCTTACCTGACTGTGTGTCTTACCTGGTTTTGTGTCTTACCTTGCTGTGTGTGTGTCTGATTGACTGTCTGTCTTACCTGTCTGTGTGTTTGTGTGACTGTCTGTCTTACCTGTCTGTGTGTTTGTGTGACTGTCTGTCTTACCTGTCTGTGTGTTTGTGTGACTGTCTGTCTTACCTGATTGTGTTCCTGTCCCAGTATCTGTCTTACCTGACTGTCTTTCTGGTCTGTCTGCCTATCTGCCAGTCTTGAAAAACCAGTAATGACTTTCTTTTACCAAATGTCTAATGCTGCCTGTAATTCTAACCATTTGGCACCTATTTCTAGCTAAGAATGAAGGAACGGACCCATGTGATTCAGTTCTTTGTCTTGGATCAGGTTCTGAGTGCCAGGGGCCCTGCTATTAGTCAAATCATTCATAAACTCTAAGCAAACTAAACACTACAATGAGCTGTAATAATAAACTGAGCTGTAATAATACCAGGAACTGTGATAATATAATGAGCTCTAATAATCCAATAAACTGTTATAATATCATGAGCTGTAATAATCCAATAAACTGTAATAATACAATACGTTGTAATAATATCATGAGCTGTAATAATACACTATGCTCTAATAACATATTAAGCCATAATAATACAATGAGCTTCAATAGTACACTAAGCTGTAATAATACAATAAACTGTAATAATACAATAAGATGTAATAACAGACTGAGTTCTAATAATACAATATACTATGCTGTAATAATGCAGCTTATTGTATCATCATAGCTGATGATTGTATTAATAGAGTTTAGTTTATTATTACCGCTAATTGTATTATTACAGCTTATCATATTATTACAGTTCATTGTATTATTGCAGCTTATTGTATTATTACAGCTCAGGGTATCATTACAGCTTATTGTATTTTTACAGCTCATTATATTATTGCAGTTCAATTTATTAATACAGCTCGTTGTATTATTGCAGTCAGTTTATTGTTACAGCTTATTGTATTATTCCAGCTCCATCTATTATTATAGCTCATCGTATTATTACAGCTTGTTGTATTATTACAGGGTGTGTTTGTATGTAATGTTTGCATTTGAGTGCAGGGGTGTGTTTGTATGTAGTGTTGGCATTTAAATGTGTGTGTACATTTGTGTGTAGCATTGGTGTTTGAATGAAGAGGTCTGTTTGTGTATTTTTTGTAATTTGAATGCAGGGGGTGTGTTTGTATGTACATTTTCTGTTTGATTGCAAGGGTGTGTTTGTATGTTGTGTTGGCGTTTGATGAAATGTATGCACATACACTGACAGATACACTCACTGACAAACACACCTTGACACACAGATACACATACACACACTGACACAGATACACTCACTGACAAACACACCTTGACACACAGATACACATGCACACACTGACACAGATACACTCACTGACAAACACACCTTGACACACAGATACACATACACACACTTACACAGATACACTCACTGACAAACACACCTTGACACACAGATACACATACACACACTGACACAGATACACTCACTGACAAACACATTGACACACAGATACACATACACACACTGACACAGATACACACAGTGACACACACACATACTGTGGCAAAACTAGCCACTTGGACAATACAGAGAGACTATGGCTTTAAGGGTTGCCTGTATAGTTCTTATAACGTTATATGTACCTGGTTGCAATGTACTGTAAACCGTATGATTGCATTGCCTGTATGGGCTATCTGCCGAAAGCAGATAGCTGTATTTCATTTCGTTTCATGAACAGCGCCTTTGCGGGCTGTTCGTGAACCGAATAAACTATCCTGCAATAGCCCACACACTAAGAGACGTGTGGCGCTTGTTAGTCGATTGCAACAATGTTGCAATCGGTAATTAGAGGCTCTCCTAGGTGGCCGTCGTTCGACTACCGACCACGCGGCGGTCGGCCATCTTGGATCCTTTGTTCCTCCAGCGGTGGTTGGTCGTCGAGCGCGTGGTACTGAAAATGGCTACTCGACGACTTGAACACCGCTGGACTTCCAGGCCGTTCGGGAGTTTCGGGCTTTTCAGTATTTTACTCCCCGTATGCCCGGTCTTTTGAATGTATGTTTGGATGAATATGTTTTTCGTGCGGCGTTCGGTTGTTTTAGCTGGGATCTGAGCGGTAATCTCACGAATTATGTGCTCAGACCCCAGCTATCTACCGAACATCCATTCGTGCAAATCAACCCAATATTCGAAAAGTTATTTATTTTAATATAAATTGCCGGTTCTGCTGCACGGAGGGATAATCCACTTAACAGTACATTCCAGTGGGAGGATCCCTCTCGTGCAGCAGTGCCTGATGGGAGAAATGCCTAAAATGTGAAGTCCCCCATGTAGTCCCCTACTGTGTTACCCCTGCTAAGGCAGTATGGAAACCCCTTGCATGGGGACTTGTATAAATACTGGAGCTGCAAATAAAGACCTCAGTTGACTCCCAGAACTGTGTTTCGTCCGGTTACTGGGGGATTTGGGATATTGCCTTGCTTTTCAGCGCTTGACTGTGGATTACCTTCTTAACCAGCGGAGATCGTGGGATTTAATATTGCCGCTCCGCTACACATACCTTGACACACGGATACACATACACACACTGACACAGATACACACAGTGACACACACACATACCTTGACACAGATACACATACACACACTGACACAGATACACTCACTGACAAACACACCTTGACACACAGATACACATACACACACTGACACAGATACACACAGTGACACACACACATACCTTGACACACGGATACATCTTATACTTCTTATATTTGTAGCTAGCTCCTATTGTGTGCAGGAGGGTGGCTTCCTTGGGTACTACTGTTGGGTACGCGTGCATTCTGAGGGGGGAGCAGATTTAGACTGATGCAGGAATGAAAGTCGGCGAGCGATGCTGAAACCACGCTGACTCGGAGGACGCCAAAGGTGGATGGTCATGGGAAAACAGAATGAGCAAAGAATACACCTGACTGGGCGCAAGATTTTTTACCACTTGAGAAAGGGGAGAAACGCGTTGTGGTTTTTATGCTGTTGTTAAAATAAGTGATTTTGGCTATCTCACTACCTGTCTGTGACAGATCCATCTGAATAGACTAAGATTGCTGGATTCGTCTGTTTTGCCTTTTTCACAAAATTACCCATTCGTATGCCCCTGTTTCGTGAATTGACTTTTCCGCCGAACAAAACTGCCGAACGGACGGCCACCCAGAAGAGATGTGTGCTGCTGGTTAACCTATTGATCCCAATTAGAATGTTGCGGTTAACCACAGACACTTCTCAATTAAAACCGAATACAGGGTGGTCGTCATTCGTATGCCGACCACGAGGCGGCGGCCATTTTAAACCATGCGAAAGACCAGCGGTGCTGAAGCTGCCGACCTCCCTTCTCAATCGACAGAAGTGTGCGAACACCGGACGTTCGGAAGGTTTACATGCACGAATGGACTTACCCCAGATAGCCTTCCCATGGAGTCAATCGCATACCGAAGAACTGTAATAGACTTTGACTCCATGGCGATTGAACTATGCGTATGGGATCTGAGCGCTATTCGCCAATAATATGCACTCAGATCCAGGCTATCTGGGGATATGTGATACGCATGGGTAGCATTCGACAAATGTAAAGTTATATATTTTTATATGTTTTTATGTGTTGAATTTAAAATGGCGATTGCCTCTGTCCTGGAGATAATTGAATTACTTCTCAATTATCTCCAGGGCAGAGGGGAGGAATTACTAATGCATGCTGGGAATATTTTGTGTCTGTGGGTCCTGAACTGCCATATTTCTGTCTATTGTCACAGTCTCCCATTTGGTCCCCTAGGGGAGTGTCCACCAAGTGGGAGACCTGCATAAATACGGGCAGGTAGCCCACAGTAAAGCCAGTTCTTGTTTTACCCTCAATGCGGAGCTTGGTCTCGTTATTGGGGGGATTTATTACCGACGACTAGAGACTGCTGGATGGGATTATTAGCCGCTTGGGAGATACCTGCGTTCGGCTAATATTGGCGATTCGTGATTTTGGAGCTCGGGGAGTGAAGTGCCCATACAGATCCCGTTTGTGAGTTTGCAGCGGTTCGTATGATTATATTGGATACGCATGCAGCCTATGTTATTGCGAACGGGGAGCATTCACTAAATGGCGGTTTGTACATTTCATGCTGAGGGTACCGTTACACTGTCTTTTTTCCTTTCCTTTTTACGTGCCTTCCTCTTCATATTCTGCTATTAAGCAAAACTACCAAGAAAGTCCCATACCAGGACTAGAAGACCTATTGCCACCTTTGAGACTATGCCTTACCATTTGGTATTTTTTATTCTTTCAAATTTTATTGTGGACTCTTTTTATATCCTGTGGTTTTTAATTGCTCTTATTGATTTTATTGTTTTTATTATTAAATACTATTGAGTATTTTTCTTGGAGCTACCTGTATATTGTTGTTTGACTGGGCGCAGTGACTGAGGCGACATCCAGAAGGGAGGGGAGAGAAACTTGGCCTCTCCAGCCAGAGAAAACTAAACAGAAAAAAGGAAGCAGGATACAGCTAAGCCAAAGCTAAGAGGTCCGGTGACAAGCTAAGTATACCAATACCTTCTCTTAGTTACACTCAGATTGCTATATGCATCGCTTACCTCTATTTTGCATAAAATATTATAAGAATCAAAGAAAAAGAAAAATTCCCTTTATATAATGAAAAAGGAATAAGAGAGAGGGAGGAATAAAGGGAACGAAGAAGGGATAAAAGGAAAGGGAGGAAAAGCGAAAGGAAAGGGGGAGACAGCGCAACTTTGGGACAAGTTATAATAACCATCACCAAACCGAGTGCCGTTCAGTCTGACAACATTGCATTATATCATTGGTAGCAAAATAAAGCTGTGAGGTCTTCCTGAAGAGTTCCCCATCTTTTTACCCAGCCAACTCAATCAAAGTTAAATAAGATATTTCACACAGCCAATATTACTGACTGCTGGGTTCATATACCCTTTACCCCCCAATCCTGCTTATCCCTTAGTGGGTCCTCCTGGCTACCGGGGTTTTTTTTCTTTCTTTCTTTCCGATTTATCTTTTTTCAACGCTTAAAATTGCTACCAAAATCCATACTTCTAAAAGAGAAATATATCTCTATAATAGAGACAATCAAAGAAGAAATAAAAGCCAGTGCAGCAGAAATCAAAGGCGAAATTATGACAATAGGCAACAGACTAAGTATCCTGGAAGACAAAATGGAGGAAATTGAGATGAAATATCAGGACACAAAGACAGCACAATCAATTGTAGAGCAAAAACTCACTAGCTTCGAAGATAAGTTGGCAGACTATGAGGATCGAGCCAGAAGACAGCATTTAAAGTTCCGCAATATTACAGAAGAAGTGACTTCAGAAAAACTGTAGCAAGAGAAAGCATGTCAAACTCGCGGCCCACAATGAATATGTTTGCGGCCCAGCGAGCCACGAGTTTGCTTACTAAAGCAGAGCAGCCACCTGCTCATCCCACATTGCAGGTGCCTACTCTGCCAAAATTACACGACCGGGAGGAGAGGTTGCTGGCGGCAGCATTACTGCTCATTACTGCTCCCTCGTGCGCGTTGTCTGTAGTGATGCCGGGTGCCGGAATATAACGTCATTCCGGCATCACTAAACTGCGCGCATGAGGGAGCAGGAAGACTGAGCTCCCGAGAGAAGATCAGGGAGAGGCCCCACACCAGCTCCCAAAAGTAGGGAGCAATAAATAAAATGACATGAGTGTGTGCAAGAATGTGTAAATGTGTGTGTGTCTGTCTGTCTGTCAGTGGGTGTGTGTGTCTGTCAGAGAGTGTGTGTCTCTCAGTGTGAGTGTGTGTGTGTGTCTGTCAGAGAGTGTGTGTGTCTGCCTGTCTGTCAGTGGGTGTGTGTCTGTCAGAGAGTGTGTGTCTCTCAGTGTGAGTGTGTGTGTGTGTCTGTCAGAGAGTGTGTGTGTCTGTCAGTGAGTGTGTGTGTGTCTGTTAATGTGTGTTGGTAAGGATTGCGATGGCTGTGGCTGGACAGTGGAGGACCTTGAGGTGCACGGAGGCACACAACGCCACGTCACATCCTGATGTGACCTCAACGTGCTCCACCTTCACAGATTTTCAAGGAGTAGCGGGAGGATCCGTTTGGCACAGGATGCAGACGGCGCCATTGGGGGTATAGAATAGCTTAGTAGTTAACAATCTAATATATGAGTGGGAAAGTCTTAAAGGACCACTATAGGCACCCAGACCACTTCAGCTTAATGAAGTGGTCTGGGTGCCAGGTCCATCTAGGATTAACCCTTTTTTTTAAATAAATTCTCTGAAACTGCTATGTTTGTAATATGGTTAATACAGCCTCTAAAGCCTCTAGTGGCTGTCTCATTGACAGCCGCTAAAGGGGCTTGCGTGCTTCTCACTGTAAAAATCACAGCGAGAAGACGTCACATTGCTTCTCACTGTGAAAATCACAGTGAGAAGACGCATGCGCATTCAGCCGATGACGTCGTTATGGAGGAGGAGAGGAGGAGGAGAGCTCCCCGCCCAGTGCTGGAGAAAGGTAAGATTTTAACCCCTTCCTCTCTCCAGAGCCCGGCAGGAGGGGGGCCCTGAGGGTGGGGGCCCCCTCAGGGCACTATAGTGCCAGGAAAACGAGTATGTTTTCCTGGCACTATAGTGGTCCTTTAAAAGAACTATGAAAGTGGACAAAACAATACCGTCATATCTCCAAATAGATACATTGGAACAATTTATAAAGGATCTTAACATAAAACTTGGATAACGGCCGGGATAGGCTATATGAAACTATTGATACAAGGAAATAATATCAAAACCTTCCCCCAACTACAAGTGGAATTCTCCCTACCAAGCCAAGAATTATTTATCTATTTAAGACTCAAAAGTTGTGTAAATATCTATGTTTTGAGATCACCACCTATTCATGGTTTCCCTCTGTCACAGGAGATGCTACTCCTCGTATGTATTCCCTTTATTATACTTTGTATCGTCTTATGTTTCCCTGCATTCGAATGGAATTGTTCCCTTCTGTTCGGTAACAGATTCTGTGGGGGCCCCTTGTTCACAAATCATGTTTAGGCTTGATTGGATGATTGTGCTTGTCCCATTCTAAATATGATAAAAAAGAGGCTAGAGATTTAATCTGTGGATGGGTGTTGATGTCTCTGTTGGATAGGGATGTGCATGGGCAAAAAATGTGGTTCTGTTCGGCACTTCCGAAATTCGGGACTTCGGCAATTCAGCATTTTGGCACTTCGGTTCGGTACGGCACTTCCGAAATTTGGGACTTCAGCAATTCGGTTCGATTTGGCACTTCCGAAATACGGGACTTCGGTAATTCAGCACTTCGGGACTTTGGCAATTCCCTAACCCTACCCTTAACCCTAACCCTACCCCTAAGGTTAGGGGTAGGGTTAGGTATAATGTTAGGGGTAGGGTTAGGAGTAGAATTAGGGGTTAGATTGCTGTCATCATTCCCTTAATTTTCCCTCCCTCTCCTGTTTTGCCACTTTTCAGAAATCCAAAGCACTTCTGCATTTCTGAAATTCGGCACTTCGGCAATTCAGTCGGCACTTCCAAAATTCGGCACTTCGGCTATTTGGTCTGGTTTGGCACTTCGGAAATTCGCCAATTCCGACATTCGGAAGCATCTGAATGTCCGTATTGCCGAAATTAGTCTGAATTGCCGAAATTAGTCTGAATTGCCGAAATTCGTCCAAATTTACATTTGGACCGAAATGAATTGCACATGTCTACTTTTGGATATGATATTGGAACACAAGGCTTGTTCATATCAAAGGATTCCTTACCTATGGCAAATGAGAGAGTTAGTTTATACTGAAACCAGTTTTCCAGGCCACTTACGTGTGACTTCTCACACCTTGCAGAGTAGTTCTGCAGGGGTCCCAGCTTCAAAGAGGAAGTCAGGTTGTAAGCTCTGACCTCCCATACAATCAAATTAACCCCTCATGAAATTTCCAATACCACCTCCACCAGGCAGCCAGTTCCTCCTGCACTGTGAATGTTTACATGGTGTGTTCAATAAAAACATGGCAACATTTCATTCTTTGTGTGTTATTAGTTTAAGCAGACTGTGATTGTCTATTGTTGTGACTTAGATGATGATCAGATCACATTTTATGACCAATTTGTGCAGAAATCCATATCATTCCAAAGGGTGCACATACTTTTATGCCCGAACATAACTTCCATTTTACCAAATCGATCTGAGTGCTTTTTGGAGATGTTATGCGCTCAGATCGGGGCTGTTCGGGAATATAATATTTTATGGGGTTCTGATGCTGTTGTCATGTATTTTTGTGATATATAAAAATTGTATGTAAGTTTTCCTATTTGAGAGATAATTGGATTAGCTTAATTGGAGCTCAACTATCTCTCAAACACAATGGCTTGTGGGAAGGAAACCCCTGTGATTTTGTATTAGAAACCCCATGCTAGGGGCACTGCATAAGAAGCTGAGTGTGGCCTAATAAAGTTCAGATTGCTGCTTTTACCCAATACGCCTGGTTGCATTCATTATATTGGGGAAACTCTGCACAAAGGGAATACTTTCACTATATGCAGCACATCTGGAATTAGGACTAGTGGAGGATTGAAGGAATAACCGCAATAGACTCAAGAACCCGTGCCACCCTCTACTTGGATTGTTTAACTACAAGGGTGTAAAAAGGACCATCTCCAAAGCCATAGACTTGATACGATTAGTCTCAATAATCCCCTGCTCCGTCAGCAATACTTAAGTGGAAAAAAGAACTAGGTTGTAATATTGATAAGATAGTTGGTACAAGGCTCTCCACTATGTTACAAAAAATATACATTGTTTAAATTACATAGAAATATTGTATAAAGTAACCAACAGGTGGTATTATGTCCCAGACAGGTTACACAAGATCTATCCAACATATTCTCAGGTCTGTTGGAGATGTAACCAAATGGCGGGTACATATGAACATATCTGGTGGGGATGTATGGGTATAAAAAAGCGTTGCATTGAAAATTTGCTTTATTATAAGATATGGGTATTAAAAACCTCTTTAAAACTCCAACTGTGGCTTTGCTACATGTAGATTAGCCCAATTTAGACCAATTAAACCAATGCCTAATTATCCACTCTTTTATTGTGATTAAAGTGTTGATTGCTTGCTCATGGAACGACCCATTAGTTCTTTCATGGGCGCATATAAAAAATCGAATTATCCTGCAAATGGTTTTGGAGAAGCAAAATATCTATATAACCCCCCCTTCTGCAAAAAAACAAATAAGATAGAAAGATGGATCCATTATGTAGGACAATGGTCCCCACACCCCTGTGCAGATAACCAAAATTCATTCTTACCTATTTCCCCTATTGAAAATCAATAATAAAGATATCTAATGCTGTAACATATGAGCGCTGACCGCCTTTTTGTTTGTAATCGATATTTGTCAAATGCACATATAGAATCCTGATTTCTCTCTTTTTTTTTAGTAAACAATGTGCACTACATGTGTGTGTATGCTTTTGTTTTTCTTCTGCATAAATGTGTATTCTCTTTGTCAATGCAAAACCATTAAATAAAAATAAAAATAAAAAATACAAAATAAAAGAATGGAAGGAGGAGAGGAGTGGACCAGCAAGTGGTAGGGGACAGTCCCTAGAAAGCGTAGAGATAGCGCATCATTAAACGCATTTGAGCCAAACTTTGGGTACTGTCTGCACAGTATGCCCTTAGTTGGCCGGCCTGCATGATTTGTGAGAAGCCTGACATGCATTCACACCATACTGACATTCTAATTAGTCGGGCACACCGTCCCCTTTCTGGGCATGTCCGGTTATGTGATTTGTGTCAGCAGCCCACCCTGTTACCCCGCCCAACATCCTGCTTGCCCAGACGCTGCTGTTAGGGGTTATGGATTTGCATTATGGAAATGAAAGTGAGAGATTAGCATAGGGTATGTGTGTCACGACATCAAACCCATTCCATCGTCAGGCTTTAAACATATGAAACTGAATAATATTATACTTGCCAATTCAATGCTGGTGAACTGCATCCTCTCTGTTCACACGGGTCCAATGCACCGCTTAGCCATATCTTCAAACTTCCCATAGAACTTTGGACGCTGCCCGCTCGAATGGCGAGTCTTTATATAGTATGAATTTGTGTAACGTCACATCGGATATAAAGTGGCAACTTCTCCTAGGTGATTCATTTGCATACTTTTTGGAGTCGCAGATATGACGTGGACCAATCAGAACATATGTTATATAATGCTTGTTTGGGCCGTTACTCAGGGCCATATTGATCTACCTTGGTACACATATAGTGCGCACAGTAAGTCTCAGTAAGTATTTCTGATATTGACCTTGACTTGTATGTGACGTTGACTATTTCTGGAATTCAGACCTCGTTTATCTGTATTTATATTATTCTGACCTTGGCTATTTCTACATTTGTCTCTATCTTTATTACAGTTAAGTCCGGCCACTCTAAGGCCCGCTAATACATCTATATTTGACCCTCTATTTGTGGGTACCAATGGTAACCTAAGCAGCATTTAATAATACACATGGTGCGATAAAAAAAAGACATGGGGCGTAGGGCGGGTCCTGCTTGTTAGGGCACAACCTGCACTACCTGTGCGCATGCCTATGGAGGTAAGGGAAAACATATACCAAGATAAAATATAAAATAATAGTCCGAACGTTCTTCTGATGATCTTGAATCTTATGTGGTGGAATCCATTCTCATAAGATGCATGTGCAGAAAAAAGGAGAAAGGAAGGGGATCTGGATAGTGTAGTATGTAACACAATCAGTCATTAACATACACCATACAATGTGTAAGCTCCCACTCACACTTACTGGAGCTATCATACAAGCACCGGTAGTAACAGCGTGTAGTGGTACAATACCCACTTTTGGACATGAATGAAGATATGATATCTACTGTGGGTCACAGTAAAATATGGAAAGACCAAAAAAATAAAAATCCAATAGTGTAGTATATTGTAGAATAATGTAGTGCAGTGTAGTGAAGTTTAATGAATAATTCAGATGTTTTAGAAAAGCATTATATTAATGATATATATATTTTTTCTCACTCTGAATTTGGAGCTATGTGCCCCTGTGTGCTCAGCAAAAGACAACTTTTGCAAAGTTCAATAAAGTGGTTAATGCACTTTACAAACACTGCCTTAGGATACATTGAACAGAATTGCGTAATTTACTCGAATGGCTGACTTGCAGAGACTATGACTGCAGTAGTCACAGTTTGGCTTTTTTTATACTGAATTGTAAGGTTTAGTTTTCAATTCACTACAATTTGGTGTTCAGCGAATAAAGGCCAAAGATATTTCTTTGCCCAACAACAAATGTCAAGTTTTGCCTTGCTTCTTCTAGTCACCTGCGACTCCTGATCGCAGAGCGAACTCTCATTCCAAGCCAGCACTGACTCTGCTTTTTCCCATTACAGTTATAATCCCGGACTTACAGATGCAGCTGTCCCTGCGTATCTCTGCGGATTCCTGCAGCTATGGTATCTGTCAGCGTAAAGTGCTTCGTCTCAGGAAACCTGCCCTCTGTAAAGTACGATTAAGAGCACAGCCAGCCACGTTGGTGTTAACACTCCAGGCCAAGCAAATTCACGGGAAGAACAAGATGGACTGGTCGATTGGTCATAATCTGCCACACTATTAACCCATGGCTTCAAAAATAAGTATCCCGAGGGTTTATACAACGTTACTTCAGCGAGTTAAAAAATGAATTGGTGCATAGTGTGCTAAACATGTCCTTTTGTCCTCTCACTGAAGTTTGATTGGGAAATAAAGGCACAGTAAATAAATAAATAAATAAAATAAAAATATATATTGCAAAATTTCCCAAAAACCTCAGTTAATGATCAACGTATTCCCAGTACAGAGATAACAGGATAATCATTGATCTGCTTGAACTGAGAGGACATGTCAGAAATTGGTTCAGTAAATAATGACATATTATGATTATTACATTCTAAAACGAATTACTTAAATAAAATAAAATTCTTAATAAAATGAACCTTTTTAGAATTGAAGTGGGATTGACACATTTCCATTTGTGATGTTTTGTAGGATTTTCACAATTTTACTATTAAATTACCAGTTGAATTAAGTAAACCGATCGTTTTAATAACTTAAATTCAATTCCTGTAGCTCATAATCATCGGACTCTGCTTTCTTTGCCTGTCATTATATTGCAGGGGAATCATGGGAAATGGAAGTTGATTAGCATTAAAAGGTAATTGGAGTAAACAAACAAAAAAACAAATGCCATAGAATTGTTTCTGTTCGGAAATTCTGATTTTGTTATAAACAAAACGGTTGTCCGTTCCCTTTGTACTGACATATCTAAACCGTAGTAATTATTTTTTTCTCACTTTATAAATACTAAATAATAAAAGTATGATAAAAATGGTATTTTATCTTTCCTAACTTTGCACAACCCTAGCCTCCATTTAATTTTTCTTCTCTGTCTACAGTAAGCATGCTGTATACTGTATGATATAGTAGACATACCGTCACAGTGTAATATAGCTCATTCACTATAAGCAGGGATGAATTGTACGTGGACTGAGCTCAAACAAGTGGCGAACACAATTTATTTAGGATAGTACTTTAACTGGGCCGCAGATTGATTACAATAACCCTTAGAAGGTGTCTCACCGGGGGTCAGTGGATTTCACATAGCTTCTCTTACAGTTAAAAATGATTCCATACGACTGCAAGGAAATCCCAGGCGGCCGGCCAGCTGGAGTGTCATCTTACCGGTGACTGTCAGAATCATTAACTCCACCAGCACCCCACGCCACCCGTGTTCGTAACTGTGCTAAGAAAAACGTTCTCTCAGGCCTTGGTGGGCAGAAAAGAATTTGAAAAGTGATTTGCTAAAGTTTAAGATTTAGAGCATCTGAAACATGCACCTGTTCATAAAACATTCTGCTTTCCGTGGCCCTCGAGATGAACATGAGGTCCATCTGAGCAGATAGAATGGAGTCCACCAGTTCTCACCCACATTTCTCGACGTTAGTAAAATGGCTTTATGCAAACCTTAGCCGCATGGGTGTCAGATCATGTCTGCAGCAACATGAGATAACTTAAAAGGGATAAGTTGGGAGTTAAAGTCCCATTCAAGGCTTGCCATAGACTCAAACATTGCTTCCCCCACTTTCCATACAGCTTGGCTCTGCACCCTCTCGCAACATTGTAGTGTGGCTCCTGTACTCCACTGAGTACAAGGTCAGCTTCCTCTCTACTACCAGGCACTCTGGAGCACTTCAGACCTAGTCGCTGAAACTGGACTGGGGTCTTTAAGGACCTCTTCCACTGGACCAGGCAGCAGCACTCTCCATCCAGGCAGGTATTGTCCACTCTGCCTTTGTCTCTTCTGTTCCTCTCTCAGGCAGGTATCAACACCTTTGCCTGTGCTGCCTCCAACTACGGTCTTTACAAAGGCACTTGTGGCTCACAGGCCTAGCTCTTTCTTAAATCTTCCCAGTGAACAGGGACAAAACCTTTGTTACTGTGGTCCCTGAACAAATTAGGCACGATACACAGTTCCCAATAGAACTAACACAGACTGCTTTATTTACACTTAGGACTAGTTCCTATCCCCATTACATTACACTTATGGTGATACACTCAGTCCAATATTTATAACAAAATCATATAGGGAATCATACAGACACTGATAATAATATAATACAAATGAGTGAAGAAGACACAAATTAACAAGAAGTGCAACTCCTGCCTGCATAAACCATAATATGCAAAACTATCTGAATATGCAAATTAACTACCCTTACCATTCAGGTAGTGCACATAATTGTTGCAACCAACAGGTGGCACTGAAAAGGTTTGCACACTCTTTCACAACCATCAGGTGGCGCTGCACAGGCTCCACAGCCAAATTCACCTAGTCAGTGCAGAACACCAGCAGGACAAGAGAGCACACAATACATTTCACAAATAACAATAATACACACCCTGCACCTATAATGGGCACAGGGCAACAAACATAACAGTCCTCCGGGGATCTACATGAAGTGTCTCTCTTATACTCCCAGTGATGGTGACTACTGTCACAAACATCACTTAGGTTTGGTGGTCTAGAAGAGGAATACAGAGGTTAGTGCCCAGAGAAGGACATACTGTGGCTTCCTCTCCAGTATTCATTACGGAGCTGTAATATGATATCCTTTCCAAGTGTCCCTCTGTGCCAGAGCTGGAGTAGATGGGCCATTATCGTCTAAAATTAAACTGATTTTGAAAGCCCCTTGACTTGTTTAGAAATGAGAGAATAATTGTTTATAATGTTAATCATTCAGTCCCCCTCTAATGGTTAAAAAACGTGGAATGACTCTTCTCCTCAAACCTGAAATTCACTGCCTTGAATCTTGTGTTTATTGTGTAAAGGAACTAGCCGGCGCTAAATTTAGTCCCAGTTCCTAACAGAACCAATTAAAACATGCACCTGGCACGGAGGGATGTGGGAAAGGACAGGACGAATTTGGACTCCTGTCTACATGTGATTCAGTGCCAAACGTCAGCCTCAAAACCTTAATGACTTGGAGAGGATCTGCAAAGAGGAGTGGGACAAAATCCCTCCTGAGATGTGTGCAAGCCTGGTGGCCAACTACAAGAAACGTCTGACCTCTGTGATTGCCAAAAGGGTTTTGCCACCAAGTACTAGATAGTACTTATTTCACTCGTTGACATGCAAATCAATTTATAACTTTTTTCACATGCGTTTTTCTGGATTTATTTTTGTTATTCGGTCTCTCACTGTTAAAATACACCTACCATTAAAATTATAGACTGATCATTTCTTTGTCAGCGGGCAAACGTTCAAAATCAGCAGGGGATCAAATACTTTTTTCCCTCACTGTAAAGCACTACCTTTACTCATGAAGAATGAAGACTTTACCGCTAGGATAACTTGAACATTTATTGATAATAAAAGCAATACCATATCTTTCAGATAGATTTCTCTTTCGATCCTTGCTCTGCCTCGTTCCCATGTGTGGATGCACATGTCCTATATGAGTTAATCAACGAGCCCATGACACCAAGCCAAGCTGAAGTTGTGAAATTGTCTATCCCAGGGCTTTACATCTAATTGAGACCTCCCTAACATAATCCTAACTAGTCGAAGAAATTTGTTAGTACGTCATTCAAATGAATCTTCTCCATTAAGTCCAGACTATTCTTCCTTCCAATCAGCTGTATTACTGAAACTGTATCTTCTAAGTAGCAACAGTATCCTACCTTCCTGCTTGATACCCTGCCTAACTCGTACCTTGCTCAGAACCCTGCCTCGATACATCTCCTGTAGGTGTATAGAGTCCATCACATTATCCTCTGGCCAAACTCGATCTTCCCATACTTACTATTACTGGCTTTTTTGTAGCACCAACATCTCTCAAATTTTAAGGATCACTAAAGACTCCCAGACCCCTTCATCTTAATCCTGCCCTAGCACTGGGTTGGTGTTCTCAGCCCTCGAGGAGACCTGCGTGGTGATGGAGTTAAGGTAAGTAAATCTCTTTACTTACTTCAATCGAGAGGGATGGGGGCAATCATCTAACTTGGCACTAGGACACTATAGGGTTAGAAGTAAAAATGTTTGCATTCATTATGCTATAGTGCTCCTTTAATGTGGGGATATAACAAAAACAAGGCGTTATTGAGGACCCTGCTTGAACGAATTTGCAGTCTATGAGATGAGATGGTCTAATCACCAGCCCTCATGGCCTACAAAATCCAATCCTGTGTAGCATGAAAACATGAACGATACATCGGCCCCTGTTGAGAGGAATGAGCCTCTCAAGGATTCCGCTGACTTCATCTCATTGTCTTTTACAGGACAAAAGGCAGATATTTCACATTTATCTCTAATAAACATTTTATATTGTAGTACGTGTTTCCATATGGGATCCATAAATATGAAATAAAGTTACCTTTACACACTGGCTTTTTAACCCCTTAAGGACCAAACTTCTGGAATAAAAGGGAATCATGACATGTCACACGTGTCATGTGTCCTTAAGGGGTTAAGCGAGCACATTTGATCATAAAATAGAATTCTCTGGGATTTGTTCACCGAGAGATGATTGACTTGAATTAACAATAGTTATAAAGACATGTCTCTATCCTGAGCATTCCTGAACTCTCCCATGTGGAAATGTCGACCAGGTGTCGAACAGAGCAGGACGACGACCATTTTGTATTCTTTAATAGGAACTCTAGGGAGAAGTATCCGCAATGCATTGCTAATCTGTTCATGTCTGGGGATGGAAACAGCTGTAGAGCAGGTTGGGCCTTGGCCTGTGAATACAGCCAAATCTCATTTTAATGCTGTACACTCCTATTTAACGGAGCATCAACCGGGGCTCGCTCACTCAAAGGTAAACTGAAGATTGAACATTTTGAAGAAATTTATGGCAGTTGGGAATACAGTGTACTTGGAGAATTTTCACACATCATTTAATGTTTCAATTTTAGCATAAATTTTACAAATTCAATTGATACAAAAGATCTTTTTCTGCCAAAATTCATGTGTCACAAAAAGGTCCACTCCAACTCTCGGACACCTTTATGACATCAGACAGTAGATGACTGGGTACCATGGAACTTCTAGACGTGTAAAATGAAGGACATGTGGCATGAGACTTTTAAATGATTAGCATTAAGGCCTTGATTTAATATTTTTGGATAAGGTTTTCAAATTATTTTAATATTTTTGGATAGACTTTTAAAATTACTTTTTTAAAACAAAAAAAAATATCATATATATATATAAACTAAATATTTTCCAAAATATTTTATTTATATAGCGCTAACATGTGTACTCAACACTTTACAGGTTACATTACAGTAGAGGGAGGTACAGTAAGTGCAGTAGGTATACAGTGTATGTATATTTTATTTATATAGCACTAACAGGTGTACTCAGCACTTTACAGGTTACATTACAGTAGAGGGAGGTACAGTAAGTGCAGTAGGTATACAGTGTATATTTTATTTATATAGCGCTAACAGGTGTACTCAGCACTTTACAGGTTACATTACAGTAGAGGGAGGTACAGTAAGTGCAGTAGGTATACAGTGTATGTATATTTTATTTATATAGCGCTAACAGGTGTACTCAGCACTTTACAGGTTACATTACAGTAGAGGGAGGTACAGTAAGTGCAGTAGGTATACAGTGTATGTATATTATATTTATATAGCGCTAACAGGTGTACTCAGCACTTTACAGGTTACATTACAGTAGAGGGAGGTACAGTAAGTGCAGTAGGTATACAGTGTATGTATATTTTATTTATATAGCGCTAACAGGTGTACTCAGCACTTTACAGGTTACATTACAGTAGAGGGAGGTACAGTAAGTGCAGTAAGTATACAGTGTATGTATATTATATTTATATTGCGCTAACAGGTGTACTCAGCACTTTACAGGTTACATTACAGTAGAGGGAGGTACAGTAAGTGCAGTAGGTATACAGTGTATGTATATTTTATTTATATAGCGCTAACAGGTGTACTCAGCACTTTACAGGTTACATTACAGTAGAGGGAGGTACAGTAAGTGCAGTAGGTATACAGTGTATGTATATTTTATTTATATAGCGCTAACAGGTGTACTCAGCACTTTACAGGTTACATTACAGTAGAGGGAGGTACAGTAAGTGCTGTAGGTATACAGTGTATGTATATTTTATTTATATAGTGCTAACAGGTGTACTCAGCACTTTACAGGTTACATTACAGTAGAGGGAGGTACAGTAGGTATACAGTGTATGTATATTTTATTTATATAGCGCTAACAGGTGTACTCAGCACTTTACAGGTTACATTACAGTAGAGGGAGGTGCAGTAAGTGCAGTAGGTATACAGTGTATGTATATTTTATTTATATAGCGCTAACAGGTGTACTCAGCACTTTACAGGTTACATTACAGTAGAGGGAGGTACAGTAAGTGCAGTAGGTATACAATGTATGTATATTTTGTTTATATAGCGCTAACAGGTGTACTCAGCACTTTACAGGTTACATTACAGTAGAGGGAGGTACAGTAAGTGCAGTAGGTATACAGTGTATGTATATTATATTTATATAGCGCTAACAGGTGTACTCAGCACTTTACATGTTACATTACAGTAGAGGGAGGTACAGTAAGTGCAGTAGGTATACAGTGTATGTATATTTTATTTATATAGCGCTAACAGGTGTACTCAGCACTTTACAGGTTACATTACAGTAGAGGGAGGTACAGTAAGTGCAGTAGGTATACAGTGTATGTATATTATATTTATATAGCGCTAACAGGTGTACTCAGCACTTTACAGGTTACATTACAGTAGAGGGAGGTACAGTAAGTGCAGTAGGTATACAGTGTATGTATATTATATTTATATAGCGCTAACAGGTGTACTCAGCACTTTACAGGTTACATTACAGTAGAGGGAGGTACAGTAAGTGCAGTAGGTATACAGTGTATGTATATTTTATTTATATAGCGCTAACAGGTGTACTCAGCACTTTACAGGTTACATTACAGTAGAGGGAGGTACAGTAAGTGCTGTAGGTATACAGTGTATGTATATTTTATTTATATAGCGCTAACAGGTGTACTCAGCACTTTACAGGTTACATTACAGTAGAGGGAGGTACAGTAAGTGCAGTAGGTATACAGTGTATGTATATTTTATTTATATAGCGCTAACAGGTGTACTCAGCACTTTACAGGTTACATTACAGTAGAGGGAGGTACAGTAAGTGCAGTAGGTATACAGTGTATGTATATTTTATTTATATAGCGCTAACAGGTGTACTCAGCACTTTACAGGTTACATTACAGTAGAGGGAGGTACAGTAAGTGCAGTAGGTATACAATGTATGTATATTTTGTTTATATAGCGCTAACAGGTGTACTCAGCACTTTACAGGTTACATTACAGTAGAGGGAGGTACAGTAAGTGCAGTAGGTATACAGTGTATGTATATTATATTTATATAGCGCTAACAGGTGTACTCAGCACTTTACATGTTACATTACAGTAGAGGGAGGTACAGTAAGTGCAGTAGGTATACAGTGTATGTATATTTTATTTATATAGCGCTAACAGGTGTACTCAGCACTTTACTGGTTACATTACAGTAGAGGGAGGTACAGTAAGTGCAGTAGGTATACAGTGTATGTATATTTATTTATATAGCGCTAACAGGTGTACTCAGCACTTTACAGGTTACATTACAGTAGAGGGAGGTACAGTAAGTGCAGTAGGTATACAGTGTATGTATATTTTATTTATATAGCACTAACAGGTGTACTCAGCACTTTACAGGTTACATTACAGTAGAGGGAGGTACAGTAAGTGCAGTAGGTATACAGTGTATGTATATTTTATTTATATAGCACTAACAGGTGTACTCAGCACTTTACAGGTTACATTACAGTAGAGGGAGGTACAGTAAGTGCAATAGGTATACAGTGTATTTTTATTTTATTTACATATATACAGGTTACTATATACAGTCCCATTTACCAATTCCTGCTTTCTTGGTAAAAAAAAAAAAAAAAAATGTAATACCTTATTTACTCAAATCTAATGCACACCTTTTTTTTGAAAATAAAAATTTGAATGCGCATTAGAATCGATGGCGCCTGTTAGAAATTTAGAAAATTAGAAATTTTCCAGCAAATTAAAACTGGTGAATTCAAACAGACGAATTTAAACAGACGACTTCAAACAGGTGAATTAAAAAAGGATAAATAAAACTTGTGAATTCTCACTGGCAAATTTCATTCCGGCTAATTCACACAGGCAAACTTTGTTCCTGAAACAGGGCTTAAGAAACAATAGACTTAACATGTAACACATCAATGTTACTGTGGTATATGGCAATAAACATTTTCATTGTAGCACAATGTTGTATAGTGGTATCTTCTTGTATAAATCCGCATTACATTCGCAAGCAAAAACATTTTTCAGCTTCCAGGTTTCAAAAATTGAGGTGCGCTTTAGATTCAATGGCTCATTCGATTCGATTAAATACGGTATATTAATGGAAATATACTGAAACTATATTTTTCTCATATAAATTCATAGGGGTGCCAATAATTGTGCACACACATATATTTAACCCCTTAAGGACGGCGGGCGTGCTTTGCCATACTTGGGGACCCGGCTCTAAACGCCGACGGGAGGCATAGTACGTCCACGCTGTCCTATACTCTTACCTGCTCACCAGCAAGCCCACGCAGGTGATCGCAATGGGGGGGACTTAACTGGCCCCCCAGGGAGTCTCCCTGCTGCCGATCCAGCCCCCCTGGGCCATGTGATCGCGATGCCATGCGATCACACGGACGGAATAGCCGTCCATAGCAGTGCCAGCAGGGGGAGTGCCTGGAATGACTGGTAGTCCCCCTGCTGCCTGTAAAAATGTAAATAAAGGTTAGAAAAAGTTTAAAATAAAATAATATATACGTAGATCATATATATACTGTCTAAGTGTATTTTTATATTTATATATATATATAATTATATATAGACTAATATCAAAATACACATAGAATGATATTAATTAAATATATATATTATATATATATATAATATAAAATATATAAATATGTTAAAAATGAAATAAATAAATAAATAAATAAATAAAAAATATATATACATAGTTACATAGTTAAATAGCTGACAAGAGACTTGCGTCCATCAAGTTCAGCCTTCCTCACAAATGTTTTTGCTGTTGATCCAAAAGAAGGAAAAAAACCCAGTCTGAAGCGCTTCCAATTTTGCCACAAACTAGGAAAAAATTCCTTCTTGACCCCAAAATAGCTGATGTCTCCTTGGATCAAGCAGCTGTTACCCCACTAATTAGAAATTATATCCCTGTATGTTATGTTATTGCATAAGTATTTATCCAAATGCTGTTTAAACATCTGTATGGACTCTGACAAAACCACCTCTTCAGGCAGAGTATATATCACTATAAATATATCTATATAGAAATAAAAATAATTTAAAATATATATATACACACACATATATACATATACATACGTATATATTAATTCTACGTATATATTTATGTAATATTTTTACATAAAAAAGTCATTTTGTTAACCCAGGCCGAAAATCCAGAGAATTTAATTTGCTAGCACTATATTTAACCCTGTAACTTTCCAAGACACCATAAAACCTGTACATGAGGGGTACTGTTTTACTCGGGAGACTTTGCTGAACACAAATATTAGTGTTTCAAAACAGTAAAACAATGGACAAAATTGCATTTTTCACACACAAATATTAATGCTAACTTTGGCCAGTGTTTGTGACTTAGTGGCTACTAAAAAAGACTGGACATACCCCATTTGCAATACCTTGGGTTGTCTAGTATTGCAAATGGTATGCCATCATGGGGGTAATTCTCATTCCTGGGCTACCATACGGTCTCAAAGGCAACATAACCAAACTGGCGAATTTCAATGTGATAAAACTGAAAAATGTAACGTGCTATATTTGACCCTGTAACTTCCCAAAAGACCATAAAGCCTGTACATAGGGGGTACTGTTTTACAGGTGAGACATCGCTGAATACAAATATGTGTATTTTATTGCAGTAAAGGCAAACCGTATTATGACATTGACAGTTAAAATGTCACGTAGAACTAAAGAAATAACACATTTTCTATTTTTCTCCCATTTCTTTATATTTTATTCATATTAAATTATATTTCATAGCTAAATATTTGATGTTAAATGAAAGCCCCGTTTCCCCTGAATAAAATTATATATAATAAGGGTGGGTGCACATAATATGAAAGACGCGAACTATGGTTGGACAGACATATAGTCAATTTCCAGGTTTTGTTTACGTTTTGATTAAACAAAGCTTAAACTAAGCTTCTAGAATAAAAGGGAATCATGACATGTCACACATGTCACGTGTCCTTAAGGCGTTAAAGGGTTAACAAAGATTTATTTTTTTGAGATAATCCTGTGTTTTGTTTGTAATTTTTTTAGATCCAGGAGTGTGGAGTATTTTTTTTAACAAAAGATCAAATTGTTACACAATAAAGACAATTTTTCACTGCCTTCTTTGCTGGTATTTACCAAGAGTCTCAATGTTAGTGGAGCGCACTCTATAAATGTAGAAGGTCCTCGGAAGACAAAATGGCCGTCGGGTATCGTGTCTTACATGACCTCACAGATTGTGTTCGGTTTACATCTGAAACCCCCCTCCCCATACAGATAGTTATCCCGGTGTGTGATGTTTCTGAGTTTTCTATTTTACTTCACAAATGAAATGATTCTGTATTGTATTATACAGAGAGGCTGGCTGGATGTTGGCTGTCTGTATTGAGCTAAATGTAGTCATGTTTTTATGGTGGTCAGTGAAATGTAAACAGCAAGCGATACAATTACCGAAAGCTGTCAGGGATTTATGGGATATGATCAGCCACTACAGACCATAATAAGAGGCTCCCGATTTGTGGAACCCCTTCCTTGAAAAGTGAGGGGCAGGGGAGTGGGTCTTTCTGTAGCTGCACTTCAATAAATTGTACAGCTTTCAAATCTTGGAAGCTGAGCTATATTAAACTTCAATATGTTTAATAAAAGGTATGAAAATGATGAGATAGTACTTGGAGACTGAAGGATACCGAGATCGAGCACCGATCTATGAGATGCTACAGGTTGGCACATTGTTCAAGAAGATTGAGAGTACGAGTCACCAGTCAAAATGGCATGAGGCAGTAGTCAGACTAACATCATGGAACTTGGAGATTTTAGCAGATATGGATCTTGTTTTTGGTCATCCCAGCTCCAGTCCCTCAGGTGATACCTGATCACTTGTGATGTCTGGTGACTCACCGTCGACTAGACAGATTGAGTAATCTTAATCCGACATCAGGGAAAATCCTCTCCTTGGTCCATATTTGTTCATATGTGAGCTGGTGACTCAGGGACACGGGATACTCTCAGTAGAGTGTCTGTGCATATTCATCCTGCCATTTAATTGCTGGGTGGTTTCCCCTATGTAGCATCCAAGGTGGCATTTGGTGCATTGAATCATGTATACCAAATTGCTGGATGTGCAGGAGTATGAACCTTTAATGCTGTAGGTTTTATTGTTGTGTGTGGCTGTATTGTCTGTGCATCTGTGCTGACACAATTTGCAGCGAGGTTTTTTACATTGACTGGTCCCATTTTCTTTATTAGACATGTGCAATTCGTTTCGGTCCGAATGAAAATTCGTCCGAATTTCGGGCAATTTGGACAAAGGGAGGGACCTTTAACTAAGTACCTGTAAAAACTAAAATAAACTTACCATTTGATGTTTTCTTTCTTCTAAAATATTATTTTTTCAGCCCCAAAAAAGGCCAAATAAAAAGCCATAATAACCGACGCAATAAAAAACCCGAGCACAAAAAAAATAATCCATCTTCACACGGCGAGGTGCCACAGGCTGCTCACTGTTTAATAGACATGCCCCTACTTGCGGTATAGCGAGTAGGGGCAAAATGTACTAATACTAAGTAACTTTCAGCCTTTTGGTAGATAACTCCCTAATACCATGGGAATTAGGGAGTTATATACTAAGCAGCTGCAAGAGAAGTTCCGAAGTGGCGAAGTTTCGAAGTGTCGAAGTGTCTAAGTTCCGAAGTTGCCGAAGTGGCGAATTTCCGAAGTGGCGAAGTTTCGAAGTGTCGAAGTGCCAAATTGACGAAGTCCCGAATTTCGGAATGCCGAACCGAATATTTTGCCCATGCACATGCCTATTCTTTATTCTTCCCATTAGTGGGCAGCTTCCTGTTAATTTTTGTTGGAGGTTTGGTGGTTGTCTGAGGGCCAAAATGGGTGTTTCAGGGAAAATGTTTTTCAGAGTCTCATCTTCTGTTAACATTGGTTGTAGGTCTTTAATGATTTCCTGTATTTCCTAAAGAGCTGGGTAGTAGGTGACCACAAGTGGATATTGTAGATATTTTTTTCTCTCTGTACTGTAGCAGGCGCGTGCACTGCGTTTTTACAGCAGAGTTGATTTGTTTGGTAATGGTCTTTGGTTTGTAGCCTTTCTGTCTCATAGATTGGGAGAGTACATTTAGATGGGAATTACGGTCATTAGGATCAGAGCATATCTGATGATGGGCTGGGCTGTAGGTAATGCCCTGTTTAGTATGAGAGGGGTGGAAGCTGGAGCTGTGAAGGTAAATGCACCTGTCTGTGGGTTTTCTATATTGTAGAAGATTTAGCTTTAGCAAAGGAAGTAAAAGACTATTTGTATGTGGATTATTCTGCATTAACGAACACAAAGCTATGGGCTTGTAGGAGGATGGTGTGTGATCAACATGAATGGGCCAGTTGGTTATCGTACGCAGGTTAATTCTGTATTATATGGAAACTATAACGCCTTAAATCAGGAGACCGGGACAGACTAGATTATGAAGGCAGAGAATTATCATAACAGAGTGCGTATTTTAATCTGTATGTTTATAGGTATTTATCGATAGGTCTATTAGGAATTAAACTAATTGAAACCTGTGGCGGACCGGCAATATTAAATCCCACGAATTCCGCTGGTACATACAGTAATCAATAAAGTAAAGCAATAGCCCAAATCCCCCAGTAACCGGACGAAACACAGTTCTGGGAGTCAACTGAGGTCTTTATTCACATACTTCAGTATTTATACAATTCCCCATGCAAGGGGTTTCCTGAGTCCTATCCCAGGGGTATTACAGGAGTGGACTACATGGGAAACTTAATGTACAGAGCATTTCTCCCATCAGGCACTGCTGCACGAGAGGGATCCTCTCACTGGAATGTACCGTTAAGTGGATTATCCCTCCGTGCAGCAGAACCGGCATTTCGCATTAAAATGTATAACTTTCTCAATATTGGGTTGATTTACACGAATGGACGTTCGGTAGATAGCTGGGGTCTGAGCACATAGTTCGTGAGATTACCGCTCAGATCCAAGCTAAAACAACCGAACGCCGCACGAAAAACATATTCATCAAAACATACATTCAAAAGACCGATTGGCATACGGGGAGTAAAATACCGAAAAGCCCGAAACTCCCAAACGGCCTGGAAGTCCAGCGGTGTTCGCGCTGTCGAGTAGCCATTTTCAGTACCACGCGCTCGATGACCAACCACCGCTGGAGGAACAAAGGATCCAAGATGGCTGACCGCCGCGTGGTCGGTAGTCGAACGACGGCCACCTAGGAGAGCCTCTAATTACCGATTGCAACATTGTTGCAATCGGCTAACAAGCGCCACACGTCTTTTAGTGTGTGGGCTATTGTAGGATAGTTTATTCGGTTCACGAACAGCCCGCAAAGGCGCTGTTCGTGAAACGAAATGAAATACAGCTATCTGCTTTCGGCAGATAGCCCATACAGGCAATGCAATCATACGGTTTACAGTACATTGCAACCAGGTACATATAACGTTATAAGAACTATCCAGGCAACCCTTAAAGCCATAGTCTCTCTGTATTGTCCAAGTGGCTAGGTTTGCCACAAAACCCATGGGTGAACCACTGGTATTCAATATACAGAGAGAAAACCGACCACTGCAGACAGACATAAACAATATTATAAGAATCACAGATCATAAAAAGTGTTGCATAATCTGTACAGATATTATCGTAACATAGTCCCATAACCCATGCTAAAGGGATATTCTGAGCACCCTAAAAGTTCGAAGTTATTTTGGTGTATAGATCAGTCTGGCAAGACACAAGCAATCCAGAGGATCATAGGAAGATGTTGGTTGTTTGACGCAGAAGTGCTGCAGCAAGAAGGGATTTTTATACTGACCTCAGAGGCACTCTTTAACCTAATAAATACTTGCAATCAGTCATTATTAGCAAAGTGACATTTCCTTTTTAGTAATGGCTGACCTTGGCACTCCAAATGTACGCTAACGGTAATTCCCATAATCCTCAGCCAGTCCTCATCACTGGCCTAGAATATTATTATAAATTATTTATTGAGTGCAAACACATTTTGCAGAATTTAATATCGCTGAAGTTTGAATTTGCCGATTGGAACAAAGTTGTAATAAACGAAGAGATCGCATTTTATAGATAAATATAGAATTACATGCAGGTTGTGCTAATCAGAAATGAATTTGCAGGATGAGATATGATGCCAACAATTTATCTTGTGCAGTTTTCGATAGCGGAGCAGAATCACATCTCTGCCATAAATTGCCACTAAAGAATGAAGCTCCCATCACCTCTCTCTATCTGAAACATCGCAGTTAATTCAACTAATTGTATTCTTGGATAATTCTAGCAACCTTTTTAGACAGTGCAGAAAAAAATCATCATGGCTGACTTTGCAAGATTTTTGTGATTTTAAAGTATTTTATATGCATATACATACTGTTTGTGTACTTTATGAGGTTTCCCTTGCTATTATTGGTTTATTAAATTAACTGCATGATCACCACAGCAGTGCAGAATGCTTTCTCAACAATGAATAGACCTAGGGTTAAACCAAGGAGGGCACTACAATGCCAACACATTAGATGCCTGTCACATGGGTTCAGCCTCTAAAATGAGAAAAGACGCAAAGCCAAGCAAATGAAACAAATCTCATTGTGATTCCTATTACCTGTGTTAAAGGTAACAAGTATATCTTGTCTTCCTTTTAACGTGTGATTAGGAAAATGTGGAAAAAAAGCTGTACTGTGATCAGATAGCACACTGGTGGAGAAACTGCACGTTCATATGAATTCATTTCAGTTTCCCAAGGAAAGAGACCCAGTACAAACACAGTATTTAAAACTCTGATCTACATATTCTTCCGTCCCATCAGGTTAATTTCAATTCTAGATTTACCTTCTCTCCTCTACCTGCGTGAGAGTGGAAGGCAATCCATTTGTGTGTTCTCTGTGTGTGGCCATCTTACGTTTTTAGAATTGAATTGTGGACATTTCACCTCTCTTCTTGTGATCTTTCCGTCCCCCCTCCCCTTGCCAATTCCCAAAATACTTATTTGTCCAAGGGTAATTAGAACGTAAAAGGACAGCTGAGCTGTCACAGTGAATGTCAGGGCAGGCTTTTCCTCGAATGGTAACGAGAAAAGCTTTTTAAAAAATACATAAGAAAATAAGAATATAAAAGCAAAGATTGCAAATATCTAAAACAGTCAATACAGCGATTACATATTGAACGTTTGCGAAAGACATTTCCTCGAATCGTAAAAGCAAGCTTTGAGAAATGTACAGTGATACAGAGAACAAATTTAAAGAAACAGAAGTTTGCAAAACATCACATACAAGCAAACAGTGTCTGATTTATAATTCTGTCTCTTCCAAAAAGATTAACCATGTATTGATAGACTTAACCTGCCTAGTTAGTGGTTTGCGACTGATTGGATAAAAAGAAGCAGGTCGAGGAAGCGCCAATTTCGAAGATTATTCCACGCACAACTTCAGTTTACGAGGAGACTCAAAAAACAAACTAAAGTGAATGTTTTAATTAAATTTAACTTACCATCAATACTTAGTTTTGAATAGACATGAAAGGTTATTTTTAAAATTTCTCTAAAAAAATCGCAGTCACAAAGTTTCTCACTAAATCGTGAATTGTCAGCAATTTAAAGAGAATTTTAAATTTTAAGTCAATAAAGTAGAATTGGGAAATATTCATTGTCGGATACGACTTATTTTTGGATATTTTGGATTCAGATTTGAACCTGAAATTGACCTCAAATTCACTCTTTCGTGAAAAATATATAACAGTCACCTTTATTCATAATTTGATCACTTCGGGCTAAATTGTTTCAGTCTCAACTCATTGTTTAGTAAATAAGTCGCGTAACTAATCAATACATTTTATTGATTATCTGTCAGTCTTGGTGACATGTGAAAAAGATGCCCGAAAAATTAGCCGGGAGGAGAAAATATAATATAAATAAAAAATTTTAGTACAGTTATTTTAAATCATTATGAAAAGTTGTTCACCAACTCACGGTTCAGTGAATACGTCCGGTAATATACTCAATATGGAACTCTAAAATCAATTAAACCTTATTATTTTGGTATTTTCACAATGTATATATTTTTTGTATTTCTACAAAATTGTTCACCCATTGCGGAAGACTTCATATAACATTTATTTTCATCAAATCCTTACCTTACTTTCAACGCATGTTAACCCTTCCTGAGTGTCCATCTTTTGCCCTGATTGTCATCTGTGTGACTTAGAGTCCTTCTAACAAAATAAAAAGGTCTAACCAGGACACACACACACATCTAATTCAAATAGTGTATTAAATCAGTCTATCCACCCTCTCTTCAAATCGTTCCTCCTACCCCTGTCCAAGTCTCTCGTATAACACCAATTTTTTTTTTCGAGGGTGGGTGCAGCTTTTCTCAGTGGGGCTCCGGAGATACCATATGTAGATAAATCAACAAAGATCGACACCTGCTTCTTACCAAACAACTGTGTATGGCAGTTTTATCCGGAACTCTCTGCAGAGCTCTGTGCATGTGTTAGTCGCTGGACGAGAGTGCAGTACAGGGTGTGTGAGAGAGAAGGGGTGGAGGTGGGGGGGACAAAGTACGGGGGTCTAAAAAAAGATCGAAACAGATGTAGTGGAATCCAGCAAGCTCAATATGTCAAGTTTCCCTACAGCCAACATGACCCCTATGCGCATGTCGATTGTGGACGTAAAAGACTTTGAGATTTTGTTTCTCAACAATAACGTGGGAAAAGATAAAAAATATAGCTGTGAATATCTGCACTCAGCTGCGGCTATACTGGGGCTGTCACGGTTTTATCACACAGCTATTGCCAGGTGCAAATTATTATACGTACGCCTAAGTCTTCGCCATTCTGAGATTTATAGACGGAGCGCGTGATTCAGGTTTTTAACACAAAGTATCCACGAGTGACATTGAAGTTACACGAAATGGCACGTGAGGCAGGTATCACGAGTACCACGGCTGTGTGGTCCAGCTTTAATATTTTAGAAGCAACATCTGGCGACTTTCAGGGTAACTCACTAAACTCTGAATTGAACTGGATTGAAAGTTGAACTGCAAAACTTAAAGTTAAAACCTCCAATCTGTGACTTTAACTGAGTGAGAGAGTTTCTCCAGATCAGTTTTTGTACCCTCAGGTTTGTAAGTCGGATTTGAACTTGGTACAATTTGGAGTTTAGTGAAAAACTATAGGTTGCATTTTCTCCACTGTCTCTGTTGATTTGTGTTTGTGTACTGTCCTTGTTTGACTGCAGAGGTTTTTTTTCTGCCTGCCCTGATCTTCGTCCTGTCAACTGATCGGGTACTGCCTGTTCCGGTCTCTGGACCCTACACCAGATACCTGTCCTCGTACCTGCTACAGTCTATTCATTATGTGCCGTTACTGAACAAACCTTCACCAGATACCCAAAATACAATCTGTGCAGCAAAACTGGCATTCACCAACTCAATGCCATCTGCAACACAGATCGACCACCTGTCCGTTACAGCAGGAATCATGACACCAGCTAGCAAACTTGGACATGTTCCGCTTGTTAATCATATTGTCACAGATGACAAGATTTCCTGGAAAAATATGTTGGCAGAAATTTGCTAATTTAGTATTTAAATTCATATTTAACTAATAAACCCCATACTAGCAACAAGACTGAATTCTCACAAACCATTTTAACCCATTAAGAGTACGTTCTCGATCTGATCTGTACTGCTAATAAGGCACTATATTACATCGGAAAATGTCATATATGAGGGTTGTTTCTAAATCTGGAATATTGTCACGCCACCTACCACACGGACACCACCCTGTGTCATTTTGCCACCTTTTCACAATCCGATATTTTGTCATTCAAGAACCTGAGGAGGCAGGCAAAGATCAAGGAGCATGTGTGAATGTGGGGGTGTAGGAAAGAGTGATAGGGTAGGGTCAGCGGTAAGTGATTGGCAGGGTGGGGGTATAAATAGGAGACATGTTCTGTACTTTCCCCCTGCCATTATTACGGACGTGCCCACTGAGCCAAAGGTCGGTTAGTGGTTAGCATGGTGTTGGTGGAAGGCCAGGTTTTGTGGCCAGTGTTGGTTGGGACGAGGGGGGAGGGCAAGTGCCCAGGTGAGTTCTGAGGTTATGGATAATTGATTGGCAAGGACGGGTATGTTTATGGAACATTGTTAGGCTATATTGTTTGATGTTCCGATTATTAAAAGATTATATATTTGATACAAAGTATTGGTAATATCATTTAGTGAAATATTTTAATTAATAAGTTGTGGCCTATTTTCACCAACTATGTCTCATGTTGTATTTTTGGAATGTTAGGGGGGTATAGGAAAAGGGCACCACACACAACTCCCCACTACGTCCACACAAGTTGTTTTTTTTTTTTTAAATATAGCAGTTTACAATATTGTTAAACAAAGCCTATGTAGGCAAAAAGAGAGACCATGTACAAGCAGTATAAGGTTAGTACTTTACAGCTTTGTAAAACAGAGCTTGTGGGACCATAAAACAAACAAAAAAACACAATATATATATGAATATAAGCGTGAGTTGGTAGTACAAAGCACTATAACACCAGGTACGGCCTGTATAGGGTGAAAGGATCAACAGGTGACATCACATTATGTAAACTACGGTACACCTGTGGGTCAGGGACGTGCTATAGGTGTAGTAATAATAAAGTAATAGTAAGACGCCATTGATAATCATGGACAAGGATATTTAATGAAACCGTGCAGACTACATTTAGAGTAAACTTGTCATGGCTGAGAATCGGACACGCAGAGAAAGGGAAACAAATAATAAATTGTATTTGGCTGAAGGTCTGAAACGGCAATACTGAAGCGCGCATATATTGTGACTTACGTCAAAGGCGTAAAATAAATTCTACAGTATTGGCTACGCAACGCGAGGAGCCTTAAAGCCAACATTAAAAACGGAATAAATAAATAAACAAAATCCGTAAATGGGGGTGTCCCTAATAACAGAAGGGGACTCATAAAAAGGGCCCAGTGTGAAGACTCCTTGTCGAGTAACCTATGGTCAAAAAACATGTCCTGGTAATTCCAGGGGAGCTTGTACAGATAAACTGCTTATTGGCCTCCCTTCACTCCCCTGGCAGATAAAGGGATAATGTTCCAGGGGGCCATGTCTACAACACTGCTGGGTGGCCCCAGAGGATGCAGATCCCCCCACAGTTCTCTCTGAACCAGTCTACCTCCACCCAACAGGAAGCCCACAGCCAAGTGAGCAGTTGAACTCGCCAGTATACTGCATACTCCCGTAGAGTCCACAGGCCAGCTGTCGTGTGCACCTCCGCTACACCGTCAGGGCCCAGATAGGGCAGCTCCACATACCCTCACCATCACTGTCCACATCTCTGATGCATGGGCCACTAGTCCGCCATAGTCATCCACTGTGCAGCCCAGCAGGGCTCACAGCGACGGGAACACTTTTCTTTAGGCCCCCACCAAACTCAGAGGCAGAGGGCAGATCTGACTGGATGCTTCCTGGCTCAGTCTTCACAACTTATGCACAACAACACCTCTGCAGTCCTGACCTCTGCTAGTTCTGACTGTGTGTACCTCTATTATCCTGACCTCGGCTAGTTCTGACTGTGTGTACCTCTATTATCCTGACCTCGGCTAGTTCTGACTGTGTGTACCTCTATTATCCTGACCTCGGCTAGCTCTGACTGTGTGTACCTCTATTATCCTGACCTCGGCTAGTTCTGACTGTGTGTACCTCTATTATCCTGACCTTGGCTAGCTCTGACTGTGTGTACCTCTATTATCCTGACCTCGGCTAGCTCTGACTGTGTGTACCTCTGTTATCCTGACCTCGGCTAGCTCTGACTGTGTGTACCTCTATTATCCTGACCTCGGCTAGTTCTGACTGCCTGTACCTCTATTATCCTGACCTCGGCTAGTTCTGACCGCGTGTACCTCTATTATCCTGACCTCGGCTAGTTCTGACCGCGTGTACCTCTGCAGTCCTGACCACGTGTACCTCTATTATCCGGACCTCGGCTAGTTCTGACCGCGTGTACCTCTTTTATCCGGACCTCGGCTAGTTCTGACCGCGTGTACCTCTATTATCCTGACCTCGGCTAGTTCTGACCGCGTGTACCTCTATTATCCTGACCTCGGCCAGTTCTGTCCGCGTGTACCTCTGCAGTCCTGACCACGTGTACCTCTATTATCCGGACCTCGGCTAGTTCTGACCGCGTGTACCTCTTTTATCCGGACCTCGGCTAGTTCTGACCGCGTGTACCTCTATTATCCTGACCTCGGCTAGTTCTGACCGCGTGTACCTCTATTATCCTGACCTCGGCCAGTTCTGTCCGCGTGTACCTCTGCAGTCCTGACCATGTGTACCTCGATTAGTTCTGACTGCGTCTACCTCTATTATCCTGACCTCGGATAGTTCTGACTGCCTGTACCTCTGCAGTCCTGACCACGTGTACCTCTATTAACCGGACCTCGGCTAGTTCTGACCGCGTGTACCTCTATTATCCTGAACTCGGCTAGTTCTGACCGCGTGTACCTCTATTATCCTGACCTCGGCTAGTTCTGACCGCGTGTACCTCTGCATTCCTGACCACGTGTACCTCTATTATCCGGACCTCGGCTAGTTCTGACCGCGTGTACCTCTATCATCCTGACCTCGGCTAGTTCTGACCGCGTGTACCTCTATTATCCTGACCTCGGCTAGTTCTGACGGCGTGTACCTCTATTATCCTGGCTTCGGCCAGTTCTGACCGCGTGTACCTCTATTATCCTGACCTCGTCTAGTTCTGACGGCGTGTACCTCTATTATCCTGGCCTCGGCTAGTTCTGACCGCGTGTACCTCTATTATTCTGACCTCGGCTAGCCTTATCAATACTGTGTACCTCTGTAATCCTGACATTGACTTGTCTTATGTTTCTGCGATATTTCCATTGCGTTACACCCAGCCAATCCAAAGGACAAGTAGTACGCTCTACTCTGTGTACTGCGTGTTGGGATTTTGTCCATCATGACAATTTTGTAATAATTGCTCCATTTTCATTTAGTACGTTTAACACAGTAAAAACATTCTACATAGCTAACGATGTGAATAAGGCTACCCAGGGAAAATATGAGTAAATAGAAGGAATATGATCTTGCATTGAATTGAATAGTGAAACGGTTGTGAGTTAATTTTAGAATCATTGATACAACTGACATATCAAAGGCAGACATTAAGTCCCATATTTCAATAAAAAAATCATTTTTTTTCTATTTTTTCCCCACAAATGAAAATGTGTTCTAAGCATTGGATTGCTACTAAAGAAGCCCCACCCATTAGTGGGAGGGGCCAACTCCCCTGTTCTATTGATATGTTCTAACTCCGCCCCTGCAGAGCCTCTCTTGGGTAAGTGAGTTTAGTAAGAGTTGAAATGAAGACATACATTTTAGAATTCCTTTTCGTTGCTCTTCCCAGCCTGGAAAAAACAGTCAAGTCATACGATCCTTTACTCATCTAGCGTTGGGAAAGAAAATCACCAAGGATACACTGGAATGTCCTTTAAAACCATGATGTGACTCCTTATCTCAGAGCTCCTCAGGATAAACAGACAC